TATTACCTCCATAATGAATTAATGAATTAGAAAGGGAAAAATGAAGAAAGAAAGAAGAGACTGAAAGAGATAAGAAGAGAGCTCTTCAATTTTTAATGGTATCTTTAAAGACCCTTAAGAGTCTGGGTACCTCAGGCTGAGAACTATAGATCTTAGGAATATATTCTTTACCCTTTCATTTTGGGAAAGGAGAGAGAATTATTGTTTTTGAATATTTATTCTGTGCCAAAAATTGGCCTTAGGCAAGACAAACCTTATATTTAATGACTACCTTCTTACCTTTTTAAGTGTTTTGTGAGTGTAATGCAACTTATTTCATCACATGCTTCTGTACCAATCCACATACATTCTCCTGAATGGAAAAGAGGCTTATTTGTGTTGATGATGATGATATAGATGACAATAATAAATAACAATTATAGTAGCTATTTATTATGAACCCACCATCTTAGCTAGGCACTGAATGTGATGGGGGTAAACGTACTCTCAAAACTACATTTTAATTTTAGAAGGGAAGCCATCTAGTGAGATAAAAGTACACCATCTATGTATTTAAAAAAAAAGAGACTTGCTAAATCACCAGAGATTCATATAAGAATTTTGGTCCACTTACTATAACTGCTTCCTTTTAAAAATCAATAGGATAGCCCAGTTTAGGGCCTAACAAAGGACTTTAGGTTTTTCCTGAATATTCCTAGGATTTTTTAAAAGATGAAACAATTAACAAGAAGAAATCAGCCAAAATAAAAGAAACTACCTATGAATTTAACTGGGAAATATTAAATTATCAGTCATTGAAATATTAACATATATATTATATTCTTAGATGACCATGACATTTTCTTCTTCCATTTCCAGCAGACATCAAAGAGATGGAGGTTTGTGGCAGAGCTGGAAGTAGAAGCTGCTTGAAACCAGTGTCTTTTCCTATATTTTGAAAAGGATTATGTTCATTGAGGAAATCAAGCCAGATGTCCCTGGATGGGAATCCAGGGCATTTGAGGGCAGCAAGAGAAGAGAGGTCAGGGTTTATAGGTCCTTTCAGTAATAGAGACATGAGGATTTCTGCACGTCAGGATTCAAGGAAGACTCTGTGGTGGGCCTAAGGAAGCTGGGCACCAATCTTGCCAAAGATTCCCCTAACCAGAGTGTTGAATGGAAGCAGCAGGGACAAGGGCTCTGAAGAGCCCATGCCAGTTCAGTAAATGAACATCTCATCCCTAACCAGTATGGACAGACAGCCGATGACAGTGAGAATCTCCTCAGGTTTTGGTGCTAGATAAGACCATAGGATGTTTGATCCCCCATCTCCACCTAATGGAGATGGGGGATCCCCAGTAATAACTGATGTGGATTTCCCACTAGCATGCTAGGGTTGGATATCACATTTATGTTCATTTAAAGGCAATTTAAAAATGTGATATTGCGGCCGGGCGCGGTGGCTCACGCCTGTAATCCTAGCTCTTGGGAGGCCGAGGCGGGCGGATTGCTCAAGGTCAGGAGTTCAAAACCAGCCTGAGCAAGAGCGAGACCCCGTCTCTACTATAAATAGAAAGAAATCAATTGGCCAACTGATATATATATAAAAAATTAGCCGGGCATGGTGGCACATGCCTGTAGTCCCAGCTACCAGGGAGGCTGAGGCAGAAGGATCGCTCGAGCCCAGGAGTTTGAGGTTGCTGTGAGCTAGGCTGACGCCACGGCACTCACTCTAGCCTGGGCAACAAAGCGAGACTCTGTCTCAAAAAAAAAAAAAAAAAAAAAATGTGATATTGCTTATACACTCAAGCGTGTGAACTAAGATCCATATCTGGAAGGCATCCTATTCAATGTTTCAATGACAAATCCTTATCTTCTTTTGGAGTGTTTCATGAATATCATGAGCTATTTTGCAACTGTCCTCTGAAGGGGATAGGCATCCTTCTTTTTTTTTTTTTTTTTTGTCTATGATTTAGGAGTGAAGGGGATAGGCATCCTTAACTCCTCTAGTTTGCTAGGCCCTAGATCCCATAGAAGATACAAGGATGAGGGGTCCTAAGCCTGCCCATCTGGTCACCCATCAATCACTAATGCAAAACTTGAATCATTTAAGCCATCTGACATCAGAAATGTGCTTACCTAAATGAAGAATTCACTGAAAGACAAAGTCCAAGAAATACTGTCTACGCATTGGTAGTTCAGTGGTAGAATTCTCGCCTGCCAAGAAATACTGTCTTCATTGAATACACACTTATTGAGCAACATACATGCGCTAAGCACCAGAGTTAGAGATCTGATAATTAGGGTCAGTAATCAGTAGGATGCATGGGATTATCAAAGTCTCTTTCTTCTTTACACTGGTCCTGCCATTCCCGTCTACTCCTTAACCAGAACAGACCAGAGTTTGAGGAAGAATAATTGACACATGGTAATGTCTAGCCATCACACTATGGTGTGACAGTCACAATGCAGCCAGCCTAGAACCTACCCTGATTTCTATTACTCTGACAGATATACTGTCTAGACACCTAAAAGCATGTTCAGGTAAATAACTTACTAGCACCCATTCCAAGGGGGCAGATGACAATAGTGGTAGGAAATATTTCATTATTTTAAGTATTTATGTCTAGGGTAAATGAACCTATTTTAGGTTTACTTGCAATTTGCAACTCTTTTAAAAATTAGTCTATTTGTATCTATGGCCCATTTCCCTAGTCTCTTATAACTTATTAAAAAACCTTTACATTTTAAGGATATTAACTATTGTCTTTTACATGTTATATATGATTATCCTATCCTTCTGTGTTGCATGCCTTTCTTCATGTTTTATTATAAAGTTATTTTAAATATTTATGCATTCAAATCTATCTAACTTTTCCTGTAGGCATCCTGTCAATTATCTAATATTTAGAAAGGTCTTCTCTGGGACAAAATTATAAAACTCTCCTTCAAGTAAATAATATATGGTTTCATTTATCAAATGTAAATCTTTAATCCATTTGGAATGTACTTTGGAATAAAGTGTAATAAAAAAAATCCAATGCTCCCCCTAAATATTTGACTATCCCATTTTTGACTATTCTTTTATTATTAATTCAAATGTTTCCTCTAACATATGTAATAAATTAAATACATATACACATACACAGATATTTCCATCCTGTTCCTCTGATGTATTTTGGTATCCCAAATAAACTTTTAAAGAGTACCATTCATAACAAACTTGACTATGTGGCAATTTCTCCTTAATTTTCTTTTTCAGAATCTTCCTATTTTCACATTTTAAGTCACTTAAAAATAAACTGGTTTTATTAGGCTTAAATTTCTTTTGTATATCAGTTTGGGGATAAATATACTTAGAACCATACATATAATCAGATCCCAATTTGTAAAAAAAAAAAAAAAAAAAGTTGTGTGATCTTTATTATAAATATACGTACATATGTGTAATTCCAAGAATATGTGGCAAAGTATTAACTATGGTTATTTCAGGTATGTGTGTGTTATAGATAGCTCCCATTTGTTTGCCCCTCACACACACACCTCCCATCAACTTTCCTTCCTGCTGTGTACCCCAGGCTTACCAATATAGACTACATCAAAGGTTTTCCTTGCCCTCTGGCTTCCAGTTTGGCCAAAGGGAAATACCCAGTAGGAAACAGAAGAGAAGAAAGTGAGGTCAGGTATTCATTTCCCCTCATTCCATCTTCTCTCTTTTCAGGGTCTTCCGGTGAGCTGACTGCATCCTGAAGATCACAGCGGCTGTCAGGTGGCCATTTCCACACAGCTGTATACCAATTCCAGTAACTCTCCCTCCCCTTCCCCACTTCCCACCCCTTTTCCTCATTGCCCAGGGGTAGTAACACCAAGTTAAGGCCTGAATTGTGCCCCTCCCCCAAATTCATATGTTGAAGTCCTAACCCTCAGTACCTCAGAATGTGACCGTATTTGGAAATAGCATCTTTAAGTTAAAATGAGGTCATTGGTATGGGTCCTAATCCAGTGACTGGTGTCCTTATAACAAATCAGGACACAGACAGGTACGGAGGAAAAGACCATGTGAAGACATAGGAAGGAGATGGCCATGTACAAGCCAAAGAGAGAGGCCTTTGGAAACCAACTCTGCCAACACCTTGATCTGACTTCTACCCTCCTGAACTGTGAGAAAATAAATTTCTGTTTAAGCCACCCAGTCTGTGGTACTTTGTTATGGCAGCCCAAGCTGACTTAGACACACGATGACTCTACCCCTCTGCTGACAACCTGGGAAAACATTCTTTAATTAAACTCCTCAAATAATCCATTTTTAGTCTCATTTATTTCTTGATGGGACCCTGACAAATCTAATAGGATTATATAATTCTTATTTCCATATTTGTCCTTACTATATTTTCCAAAACTTCTATACTTTTTTTTTTTTTTGCTAAAGACACAGGAAACACTGTCATGAAAAATAACTTGGTTTAACTGGGAAATTTCCATGTAGGATGGAGTTATAAGTATTGGCATCCAACATCATCCCTCTCCATGGATCCTCCTACTCCAAGATTCCCAGTGTTATCTCCAAGTGATTATAAAAACAGAGACAACATGACTTCTGCTGGACCTAGGGATGTCTTCCATCTTTGGCCAAAAATGTACAAGTATTTCTGATAGATGTAATACCTAAGGTGACTATCCATGCCTCCTCTAGTGGGAAAGAGAAAAGCTATGCATAAGTGTAAGAGACTGTTATAGTACCCACTAAAGGCCCCACTATACCAGCCAAACTCACAGGGTCATGGAGCATCAGGAGTAAAACTGGGTCTTACAAGCAGCACTAGAAAGCAATCCACCGCAAGAAGCTGCACTGAGACGAGAGAGGAGGGGAACTGGCCAAAAAGGGCATGCTCCTGGCTGCCACAAACAAAGGGAAAAGGAATTCTTTCACTTGGAGTCAGAACTCTTCTATACCACGTAGATCTTTCCCGAGTTTGCTGAGTTTGTCACCCTTAATAACATGAAAGGCACACTGCAAATTATTTGCTTTGAAATTTAGAAACAAATTTTATTTAAGATCTGAAATACAATTCCTAAAATATCAACTTTTCGAGAAAACCGTGGCTACACAATAATGCATTGCCTCTATCATGTTAGAACGTGCATTAGACTCAAATACAAAAACCATGAAACAAATCACCATCCTTCAACAATTTGAGCAAAGATAGAATGCCTAAGGAACAACATAGATGGACTTGCAGAGAGGATGGGCTGTTTTACTTCAAGCACCATAAAAAAAAAAGAGCACAAATGCATGGGTTTTCGGGTATATACATTAAGTTGAACCTTTGGCACTAGGAATCAGGGCGTTTTGTCACGTAGCATTAACACATATTAGAAAATTGTGTAGTGTCAAAGGGATAGAACCACCAGCATTCAAGCAATGTTGTCAACTAGGCAAGAAAATGTTCTACTGAATGTTTCATCTTTGTCTAATTACTGCATACACTGGTAGCAACTTTGAAATGAGAAAAGGAGCGTCACTCCTTTTATTTTCTGTTTAAAACGGAACAGAAAACAAACTGAAACATAAGCCCTGTTATACATTAACAATTTTAAAGAACATCAATTATACAAGAAAAGGACTAAGAACAAAAAGATTTTACAGATACCAGACAGATAACAGTGAGTGGTCAGTAGACCCTCACAGGGCTTTGCGGTGGTACTCAGCAGAAGCCACTTTGTAATCACTGGCAGTAAACAGAGACGCAGAATTCTTTGCCAGATATTTTAGGAAATCATGCAAGTAGCCCAACAATAATGCAAGGCTCTTCTCATCAAGGGGCGTATAGGCCAACATTGCTCCGATTCTTACAAATAATCTCAGTAGGTGTGGCGCTCCATAAACCTGGGACATCGGCGCATCAGGGTGAGCCAAGAGGATTTCAGCATACTGGGGCCTCTCAAACTTGTAGAGCAGCTGGGTGCCTAACATCACGTTGAAATATTCTTTTATTCCTGCCACGACTTCGTTAACTGCGTATTCCTTGTTATCAACATTGCCCTGTGACTTCTTGCAATTTGCATACTCTTCCAGAATAGCATCTACATTCTTCTTAGCAGGAAGTTGGAAGAGTTGCTTCTGCCTGGTAACTAAGTCCCAGTCCTCAACAAGCCATGGTTTTAATTCTTCTGGAATCTTCACTTTAACCTCCATTCTATTCTTAAATGCCTCTTCACTTTCAACAGTGGGGTCTGCCCGGGCCCTTTTCTTCCTAGGGGGCTGAGGTGCTTCGCTGGTACTGCCACCATCTCCGTTTCCAGGAGTCTTCTGTTTGTTCTTTCTGGTCTTCCTCACAGATCCTGAAGGGGGGTTCTCTGTAGAGCGACCCCCCCATCTTCCCGGGAGAGCCGGCTCAAGATTTTTCTGCTGTGGACCAGCGGTCTTCTTTCCTGAGGATGCCCCTCTCATCTTACTTCTCTGCATGTTGCTTCTAGTTGGTTTTTTGAAGTTGTCTTCCTCTGCAGATTGTTGTCCACGAGTTTGAGAAGCCTGCTTTCTGGAACTCATTCAACCCTGTTTTTATTCCAACCACTGTAATATATAAAGTATTTTACTTGGTTGTTTTTTATGGTGACCTTAAACTATGCTTCATATAAAGGCCCATCAGAACATAATACACTCTAAATCTCTTGGAATTTAGATTTCAAATCCTATTTCAGGACTCTTTATAAGTGGTTTTTTGCCTCCTTCCCCTCTCTCTGATCCTCACTACCACCTACTACTTTCACCCCACACAACTGTTTATCAGACCTGCCCATAAATTAGTTTTTTGATGTCACTCAAAAGATAGGAATATAATTTTAGAGAAAGGAATTAAATGGGGAAGAAACTATAAAAGGGAGTGGCGTTGAAATTCAAGACTCATGAGCAGGAGAAATGACAAAATGACATACCGAAGATTAATTTAGTTGACTGGGGGCAAAATGAGTAATAGTAAAGGTTCTTGTGTAAGTCCAGATAGGCCTGACCTATGGTGATGAAAGTTAAAGAGAAAGTGAAGAATACAGAGCTTATATTGAAGAACATAGTAACTGAAGGAGACCAAGGAGTAAAAGGGCCCTACAATTTCAAGCCTGGGTAATTAATGAATTAATAAAAGCAGTGATTTTTAAGGCTTAGTTTGGAATCTGCAATGAAATGATAGAACATAGATAATTCATCCATTCATTAATCTATTTGGTTAGTCATTATATATTATTGCATATCTACTACAGGATAGGTAATATGGTAGGTGCTAGGGATTCAAATATCTAAAGTGACAATTATAAAACAGCAAGGTTAATATAATGACAGTTATAGACACAGAATATTTTGGGAACAGACAAGAACTGGTACATAATACCATGGTGATTGCCTGCTGGAGGTGAAAAACTGGTGAGGGAGATATCAGTGATGACTCCCAGGTTTTGAGGATGAGTGATTAGGTCATTAGTATTATCACCAAATGAGACTGCATCTACAGAGGGAGGAAATGGATTAGAGGGGAAAGAAGTTCAGTACCGAGCCCACTGCATGCGAGGTGAGCAGTTAAACATAGGACTTGAAAGCTCAAGAGTCAGAAATGGAGGTCTGAGAGTAACCATCACATAACTGGCATGCTATGAGAGCCAACACAATCATTTGGGGAGAACAGAGGAAAAATTTCAAGTACGGAATTCTGGAAAACCTAAGGAAGAAAAATATTTAAAGGGTGAGCAGAGAAAGAATGCACAAATGAAACAAAATTTTAAAGAGTAGCCATAGGAGAATTAGGAAAATGTTACTTTGGAAGCCAAAGTAGTTGAGAGATTCGAGAAGGGTAAGAGATAATCTACAATGTAAAACGCAGCAGGGAGGCCTAGTAAGATAAACATACATATAGTCTTCTATTGTTTTTATGCTGTGTGAGATGAAACAATTCCATTGACTTACATAATCTTCCTTCTTTCCCTTCTAAGAACTCCTAGTGATTTCCCAGATGGAATCTTATTAGATCTTCTGGGATGGTCTGGAGGATGTAGTGGGAGACACAACCTAGAAAGAAAAGCAAGTATCTGCAATGAAGATGAACTTGAGAAAACACATGAGTTCTGTTGTCAGACAGATCTCTACTTCAATAAGGCTCCACCATTTACAAGTTGGGAGACCTCTAGTAAGACATGTAAGCTCTCTTAGCCTCTTTTTCTCATCAATGCAATGTGTCAAATTATCCATAGTCTTCACAGGCTCTTGTTAAGAATTTTATAAATGTGATGTACCTGAACAGCTAGTACGGTACCTTGCAGGAATACCTACACATGTGAACGCGAATATAAAGATGTTCATTGCAGTGGTGTTTGTAATACTGAAAAACCAGAAACACCTACATATTCCTCAATAGGGAAATAATGTAAAATGTGTATGCACACTACAGAAGAACATTCAAATGAATTAAGCACAGATCCATGTACTGACATGGGAAGATGTTCCACATGTATCATTAGGTAAATAGGCAGGTTGTATAATACTACAGGATCCCAAAGGGACACACAGCACAAGCAGAGAAATAAGCATCAGTCTCAGACAGTTTCTTTTGAAGTGTGATCTCATTTCTGTGCGTCTTTTACATAAGTGTATATATATAACAGCCTGTTAACCTCTGGGAAAGGGTCAATGGTGGACCAGCCTTAACCAGGTTTCTCTGGTTAACTACAACTTTCACTCACAGAAAAGGCCCATCAGCCAATCGCTAGCTTTTTTTTTTTTTTGAGACAAAGTCTCATTCTGTTGCCCTGGCTAGAGTGCCATGTGGTCAGCCTAGCTCACAGCAACCTTGAACTCCTGGGCTCAAGCAATCCTTCTGCCTCAGCCTCCCAAGTAGCTGGGACTACAGGCATGCACCACCATGCCCAGCTAAGTTTTTCTATATGTTTTTAGCTGGCCAATTAATTTCTTTCTATTTTAAGTACAGACGGGGATCTCGCTCTTGCTCCAGCTGGTTTTGAACTCCTGACCTTGAGCGATCCTCCTCGGCCTCCCAGAGTGTTAGGATTACAGCCGTGAGCCACCACGCCCTGCCCAATCTCTAGCTTTTAAGATTATGTGGGCAGGTGTCAGTAAAGCCCTAAGGGACAAATCAGAGATAGGAAATGTTTAAGAACTAGAGACCAGAATCAGGAAAGCCTGACTGGGAAGAAAAGCCTGGGTGCTAGTACTTATACTAAGCAAACATCCGCTAACTGAAAGGGCACAAAGCTCTAAGAGGAAATTAAAGGGCACCGTCAGTCTTTAGAGAGCATCAGAATCTGAATACGGAGACTGACTCTCTGGGAATCAGAAAGCTTCTGGCTGAGAGGGATACACACACACATCCTGTGAAGGATTGGTGACCACAGTGGCCAGCATGTTATGGCATTACCGCAAGCGATCACGTTTACAAAATGTTTCTTTAAAAAAAGGGCATTGGCTGCGCACGGTGGATCACGCCTGTAATCCTAGCATTCTGGGAGGCCGAAGAGGGTGGATAGCTCCAGGTCAGGAGTTTGAGACCAGCCTGAGCAAGAGCAAGACCCCATCTCTACCGAAAAAAAATAAAAATTAGCTGGACAACTAAAAAAATATATATATGTTAGCTGGGCATGGTGGCGCATGCCTGTAGTCCCAGCTACTCGGGAGGCTGAGGCAGGATTGCTTGAGCCCTGGAGTTCAAGGTTGCTGTGTACTAGGCTAATGCCATGGCACTCTAGCCCAGGCAACAACACGAGACTCTGTCTCAAAAAAATAAAAAGCATTTATTGTGACCAGGACATAAGGGGACACAGTATCTGAGAATTTAGTTAATACAGGTTGAGTATTTCTTATCTGAAATGCCTGGGACCCTAAGAGTTTCAGATTGCAGAACATTCGCATACACATAATGAGTTATCTTGGCAATGCGACCCCAGTCTAAACATGAAATTCATGTTTCATATATACATGTACCATGAAGGTAATTTTATATAATATTTTAAATAATTTTTATGCACCTGTCACATGAGGTCAGATGTGGAATTTTTTCCACTTGTGGTGTCATGTCAAGGGCACTGAAAGAATTTCAAATTTTGGTGCATTTTGGATTACATATGCTCAACCTGTATGAGTAAAATCCAGAAAGCTCATCTTGGGGCTCATAGAGTGTAGAAGTTCCATAAAACAAAGGCACTCGTTAAAAGTACAAACCAAACAATGTAATATGGCCCATAGCCAACCAGACTGTGTAAAACACTGAAGTAGAGTCAGGCTGGACAAAACTATTTTGGAAGCCACACTGGTCATAAGCGATGCCTTAGTGAGGAGGAACTTGAGAATGATAGCTGAACATGCTGCATATCATTGGTATTGACTGCATATATTCATGCATAAGAAAACTACAAAAAAGAATTCTACCTGGTTCTCATTACGGTGGGTGCTTAGTCGTTCTCTACAAATTCTTCTATCATTCATATAAAGCCCAACGTTGAATGAGACATTTATTCTATAAAACCATTTATTACTACAGAAAAAAATCCCTACACCACTAGTTAAGGTCTGGGTGCCCAGACTGAATTAAGCCAGGGAAGCAGTCTTTCTAAACAGCCTCAGCAGCTTTTATTTTTATCTGAATCTCCCACACATGGAGCAAGCAACCACTACTATGAGACAGGCATCAAAAGAAAGGGAATATCCTTTCTTTTGACATCTGCCTCCTACTTGTGATACAAGTTGTGGGTCATTGTGCTTCTGACCTTCCTTCCCAGAGGCACAACACTGCTCTATGGAGCCGAGACACATGTGCTGTGCACACTCTTCATTTAAAAAGTTGGCATTACATATATATATAATTTTTGAGCTGCTTAATCTTGGAATCTGCTAGTTTCTATCTTGAGTTTCAGGCTGTTAGTAATATTGTTTACTTAGTATACCTACTCTTCCTCCCTTTCTCAAACACTAGGGAAGTCAAGTCCCACCTCCTCTCTTTCAATAGGTAGTTCTCCAACTACCTAGCTCATGTCTCTCCCATCTCTAATACCACATGAAATTGACATTAGTACTCTGGAGCTTAGGATTTAGTTATTTAAATGTTCATGTGTTAGTTTTGCTTTTGGAGCTACATAATTCACATCAATTTGCCATGGGGCTTGTGTTACACCTATCTTTTGTCTTTCACAGCAGTACTTAGGTCCCTAGCAGGTATACAATAGTGAATCAAAGAGAGTGTGATTCAACACATGGAGAAAACAAGGGCACAAAATAGGGACAACAGTCAACTATTTTCTCACCTGCTCCCTGCAAGTCAGCTCTAGGGTAAGCCAAAAATTGAGAAAACACACTTGTTCCCATCTTCTATCCTTAATTTTACAATAGTTAACTTAATCTCTGTATAAATAATGCATTTCAACAAAAGTGAGCTCACACTGGCTATCAAATCTTATATCTTTCCTTTTTAAAAAAAATTTACTGTTACAATTAATCACTATCCCATGTTAAGGTTATAATATGCATCCATTTTGAGTTGTATTATAGATATCCCATCAAATGGGCATACCTTAATTACCCACTCTCTGGAAACATCTGGTGTGCTCCTCCCAATTTACTCTTTAATAGCCAATTAAAACATTTTGTGTAAACATTTTTTGCCTTCATTTCCTATCACTGCTAAAACTCTCAGAAGCAGATTTAGTGGGTCAAGCAGCCTAACACTTTTAAGGCTCTTATATGCTGCCAAATCACCCCAACACAGGTGCTATACCAATTTCCAATCTCACAAGCAGCATGTAAAAATGTTCATCATGCCTTATGCTCTGGCTAGCACTGGGATACTCATTTTGAAATATTTGAAAATTTGGTAAGAAAGATGGGTTTTAGGTGTAGTTTGTATTTTTTTGTTAGTGATGTTTTAACATTTCAGAAATGTGTTCACTGGCCATTTATATTTTAGCTCTTGTCCTTGCCCATTAATTTTGAGTTGGTTCTTAGTGATTTAATTTTGGGGCAAATATTTCCCCTAGGGTGTTATTTTAGTGTTAAGATTTTAAATGTTTTTATGTGATTAGTTGTATAGCTTTTCCTTCCATTTTTAAGTTTAAAAATTAAGAATAGACATTTTATATTTTAATTCCTTAATCCACCTAGAATTTGTTATGAACTGACAATCTGTATTCTTTCCCAAGTAATTAAATTTTGTGGTACAATTTCCTTTGTATACTTATAAAAACCAAACCATATAAAGACATGACCATTATTCCCTTACAACCTTTCCCAGCCCAATTCTAAGAGTTATCCTCTGAAGGAGTGTGTACACCTCCAAATCTGTTTATGTACATATTCACACAAATTAAAAACATAACTTTAAAACTCAACATGTTATATAAATATATGTATGTGAATATATACCACGCATTTACTTAATCTGTTTTGACAAAGGTGAGATGCACATTGCTCTGTACCTTGCTTTTCTCACTTACCATGGGCATCTTTTCATGTCATTACATACCCACCTCTTTTAAGTATCCACATGACATTCTATAATCTGTTGTGTACCATAATTTAACCAGTCTCACAGCACTATTTAGTGAAAGGAGTTGCTTATTACAACTTTGATGAGATAGAGCCAAATCTACCTCAGAAAGACCTATTTTAACTTGTACTCTCAACAAAAAGGAAAAAGTTTTCTTCCACACCTTCAACAACACTGGATAGAACATCTTTTTGAAGAAAAAAAGTTTCTGGGGGGAACCAACATAACATGTAATGACATTTTCATTTGAATTTGTGTGAAATTGAGCATCTTCTCATACAGTCACTGGTCATATATCTTTTCTTTTCTTTTTTGAGACAGAGTCTCACTCTGTTGCCTGGGCTAGAGTGTCATGGCATCAGCCTAACTCACAGCAACTCCTGGGCTCAAGCAATCCTTCTGCATCAGCCTCCTGAGTAGCTGGGACTACAGGCATGCGCCACCATGCCCGGCTAATTTTTTATATATATTTTCAGTTGTCCAGCTAATTTCTATTTTTTTAGTGGAGATGGGGTCTTGCTCAGGCTGGTCTCGAACTCCTGACCTTGAGCGATCCACCCGCCTCGGCCTCCCAGAGTGCTAGGATTACAGGCGTGAGCCACCGCGCCCGGCCCATGTATCTTTTCTTATATGATTATTTTTGTTCCATCTACTACTAGGTTGTCTGCTGCTGCTTACTGTTTTTTACTAATTATTAGTTTTTTTTGCATATCAGAAATATTTTTTCAATTTAAGTATGTCTAAGACTGTATGTGTATATATATCCCAATATCACAGACAAATCTGTAAATTTTTTCCTTTGTGTAGCTTTAATGTCATGCTTAAGAAGATGCTCCCAAACCAATACTATAAAAATGATCTTCCTATATTATTTCTTGGTATTTTTAGTTTTCTCAAAATATATAACTAACTTTTCCTAATATTTGTTACCGAAGACTTCATCTTTTCCTTACTGATTTGAAATGCTATGTTTATAACATTGTAAATTCTCAGAGGTAGATGGGTTGGTCTTTCACGGTACACTCTCTTCCTAAGGATTTTTGATTACTTCATTTTTAAAGGTATCAATGTCTCTAGGCCATCTGTTCTGTCAGAGTGTCTGTCAGAAGTCGTCTGATTGTTCTCACCAGCATCACTTTGATTTATTTATTACAGTTTAGAAGCATAAATGGTACCCTAGAATAGCCCTTGTAAATGGCTACCAATGCTATTTGATGCAGTATTATTTCGAAGCAGAACACTGGATTCAACTTAAAAGGCTATTGGTAGTGATTTGGCAAAATAAAATGTGGTATATATCTATAACATGGAATATTATGCTAGTTAAAGGAATGCCACTGTGAAACGCATTAGAATTCTGACTGGACATGAAGATGTCTAAGATAATTTGTTGAATAAAAATAAGCCAGTTGCAAAACAATTTCTATAGTGTGATACCATATTTGCATAAAGAAAAACACAAAAACAATATTTTATATATATCCAAATACATTTTTTAGACAGGTACATAATTTAGCAATCTAGAAGGAAATAGAGCAAACTGGTCAGAGTAGTTAACTCTAAGGAGAGTAAAAGAACTGGAAGTGGTGAGAAAAGGAAACTGAGCTTAAACTTTTTACAAGGAGATTGCATTCACATAGCAATTATGTGATTAAAAATTTATAATAAAACACATATATTTAAAATTCACACTGACTTTTTGATCTATTCTTATCCATAGATTTCACAGATGGCTTGAATTGTCAGTTAATCATCACTGTGAATCATATACTTTGTAGGCATACCATTCAGACTGGGTTCCCTCCCTCCTCCTAGGTTCTGCCCATCCTCAGAGGCTCAGGTCAAGGTCCTTTTCCTTCTTGAAGCTTTCTCTGTTTCAGGTTACACTGGCCTTTCCTTTCTCTGAGCTCCTATTGGTCAACAGTCCACCTCCCTACCTTTAGCTGGTAATCATTCTCTAAATGGCCCCATGTAAAGGGGTTTGTGTTTACACATCTAATGCATCTCTTCCACGAGGGCAGTGCCCTCCTCTGAAACCTAGCTTTCAGAAGGGAGAAAAATAAGAAGGAAAATATATTGACTCCTAAGAAAATGTAGCTGCCAGGAGACTGAAAAACCTTCATTTATCTCCTCGTGCAAGCAATAGGCCATTTGGGAATCAGACTCCAAATGCTAATATCTTTTGTGTATGTGTTTGTCACAAATAAGTGTGAATAACATCTCCTATAGTTTGTTAGAATAAACCTTTAAATGCACATACACCATGTCAGCTGCATCAATATCAATTTTCTCTTCTGGATCTTGAAACATTTCCTTTATGTTTAACAGGTGTTTTTTTTTTTTTTTTTTAAAGTCTGAGACAAAGAAGGAATGATATAAAAGCTATTACCAGACTGAATATGGTCTGATCTGTTAGCTAAAATTATAGTTCCTGGAAATTCCCTCATAAATAAACAGGATCAATATACTTAAAACCTTTCTAGATTGTTAGAACAAGGCAGAAGTCATAATTTCAGAATTCAGTTCTAGTGGTAACTGCTGCTTCTGGAAAATGAGAGAAACCAACAGTATTACATTTTTTTTTTTTTTTTTTACAATTCCAAAAAGGGATTATCCAATGCTTTTAAAAGCATGTGTATGTGTAAAACAGGATGTATCAGTACTAAGAGCCATAATTATTATTAAAGCAAGCACTTATACGTGCTAGGCACTGTCCTGGTATTTTTCATGTAATCCCCTCAACAATCCTATGAAGTAGGAACTATTCTTATCATCTCTGTTTTATGTATGATGAAACTTAGGTATAAAATGAGTAAGTATCTTGCCCAGGATCACACAGTTAAGTGGCAGAGCCAGTTTAAATTTAAACTAAATTTAAATTTAGGAAGTCAGTATTTGCTCTAAACCACTAAACTATGCTGTACATGGAATGCTGAAAACCAATGTTATATATGGATCTGTGGAACTCCTATAGGGGATCAATTGTTGTATCTTTCTTAAAGGGATGTAAGATTACACAGCCCTCTGTTGCTTATGCACTTTGTATACTGAAAGCACTAATGAATTTAGCTCCAATCTTCCCTTCTCAGAATTTCGAGCACTTATTAATCTTCAAAATATTCCTGGACAATTAGGAAGGTTATGCGATGTTATCTTGTTTGAGAACTGAGGCCAGCAGAAGGGAAGCACTTACCCAAGATTCTGTAATCAGGGATGGTTCTGCAATCAGGATCAGATCTCCTGATCCTTACTGTACAGCAAACTTAGCTTTTCTGATGGTGACCTAGAAGGTCAAACAAAAGGACAAGGAAGGACATAAAATAAAAAGATATGAGATGATGTTTTTCTTTTCCATTAGTCAATCTTATCACACATAAAGGACATCAAAGCTGATAAATAATGTGTGTTTCTTTTTCCTTTCTTGTGGCTATTATTTTCAAATTGATTATACATTTATATAATTTTTGACAAATTAATTTGTAGGTTTACAAAAACCTTTTCATTAAGGATAATTTCAAATGAATAAAAATGTGAAGGAAATATTATAAGCCTACAGGAATCCATCATCCAGCTTCAACAATTACCAACTGAAGGCCATCTTGTTTCATCTATAACCCCACCCACTGCTCCCCCCCCTCCGACTTTTATTTTAAGCTCATGGAATAGCAGACTTCTGTATTTTATTATGGAAAATTTCAAACATATATCAAGAAAAACTAATATAAGGAACCCCATATGCCTATCACTCAGCTTAAACGATTATTAATTTAGGGCCAGTTTTGTTCATCTATACCCCTCCCCATTTCCCCCTACCGCTGAGATTATTTTGAAGCAAATCTTAGTCATCAACGTATTTTGAAGCCAATCCCAGACATATTATTTAATCCGTATTTGCGTATGTCTCTACAAAAAAAGACAATTTAAAAACAAAACCACAATACCACTATAACGCCTAAAAAAATTGACATCAATTCCTAAAAAAGCATCAAATATCGAATACGTGTTCAAATTTTCCCGATGCATCTTAATCAGATTTTTACAGTTGGTGTGTTCGATTCAGGATCCAAACAAGGCCTACTCATCGCATGTGGTTTATCTCTAGCTCGCTCTCGTTCTCCATCTCCCTTTCAACCCTCCCCCCTTTTTAACTTTTCAATATGGGAAAATTCCAATCTCTGCTATTTTGAGGCAATACCCACATAGCAAATTATTTCATCGGTGAAAACTGATTTATCTCTTTTATATTCTATTTCTTCTAGAGAAGTTAATGGGCAGAAAAGGCACTATAATGATCGAAATCACGTAATTTATAATTTTTCTTAATTCTGTTACGCGGGTATTTCCATAACAATAGCTAATATCTTTGGGAGCCAGGCTTCCTATTACGTGCGTTATACGCACTATTATACATTATACGTCTCTGAGGTAGATACTATTATTATCACCATTTTACAAACATGGAAACCGAGACACAGAAAAGAACAGAAGCCTTGCCCAAGCAGGGCGTTGGCGAGCAAGAATTTGAATCCAGCTCTGTCGGATTGTGAAGCCACTAGCTAATCCTATCTATACACGACGAAAAGAGGAAATCATCGACCCTTTCTCCCCACCCCCACCCCGAAACCTGAAACGAGAATCCAGTTCTTCCCAGCAGCCGACGTGTGATCACTGCCGTTCCTCCAACCGCCATAGTAAAGCCAGGTTTCTCTGGCAACTGATATCCATAGGCAGACACGTCACCCTGGAGGAGGGTGTATGCCCTTCAGCCAATCACAATCGCCTCGTCTAAGTTTTAGAATGTTCCATGCCCAAATGATTGGACGACCGCCCCCACGTCAGCAATGACACTTCGCCGCAGTAAAGGCGGGTGCTAGCAACCTGCTTCTTCATGGTTAAGGCCTAAAACAAGCCAATCACCTTTCTTCTTTAGTGCGGATTTCAGCCAATGATGTCCGTCCTCTTAGGTCCTTGGCCCGCCCTCCAAAAGCGCGACAGCAGTTGGGTCATAAGTCTATAGGGCAGAATGTTCACGTGGCCTATTTTCACGACCCAGAGTTCCCCTGACCAGAGGTTTTCCCCCCCTCAAAAAAGGAGGCATTATGGGTTTGTGTCTCCCCCCCACCCCCACTGGGAGAGGAAGTGTCTACGTGGCCTGCGGAAATAGGATAGGCGGAAATGAGCTAAGGTTCGCGCGAGTAGGGAAGCGCTAGGTCAAATCTAGGGCCACGCCCCCGGGGCTGTTGCGCAACTCTTGGAGCAGAGGGAAAAATGCGCAGTGGGGACGTTAACGGGCGTGCGAGTGGGGATGGTGAGTGCCACGAGCGCATGGCATTTGAACCAGGGTGCAAATGCGCGAGCAAGGTCGCGTGGCCTAGGGCTCGGGGCGTGAGCGCGCACCAGCCCTCGTGGCGCCGGAGGTGGTGGGTGTGCGCAGGCGTGCGCCCCTGGCGTTGGGACCGGTGGGAGGGAGCGCGCTCGAGCGCGCGTGCGCGCGATGGTGGTGGGGGGTGGGCTGCTCTAATCAGGTTCTCTAATTCTGTATTATGTTTAAAAACTATTCTAATGAAAACGAAAATAATTAAATAATTAGGCAAGGCGACCATTAACGCAAAGGGGCATTGTTAAAAATATATTGTTCTTCCCTACTGATTTAATTTTAGACCCTAAATATACACTTTCTTCCTATGCTCTGTGCCCAAATCCCGTTCTAACCCACATCCCTCCGATGGTTAACAGCCAAACCCTCCCATCCCCACATCAGCAGCTCCAAGGGGCGGCTTCTTTCAGGTTACCCAGTATCCGCCCCCTCCTCCTTCCTGTCCTCCGTCCCCAAGTTGCGTGCAATTTTCCTGGCACAGATACAATTTTCTGGCGAGACTATCCGTATATGACAGCCTTCCTCTCCGCTAGGAACTCTGAATTTCTATGGAGGCTGAGGCTGACTTACCTTCTGATCTCCACGCACAGTGCCCTTCTGCAGGCAAATGCGCACTCGGTTAGTTTTCCAGAAAGTTCTCTGGGTGAGGTTTATACCTCTGGAGTCTGCCACTAGATGCCGCCAAATCCCAGCAAAGGATTGGCTGTTTGGTCCCTGGGATTATGGGATTTTTGTTCCCCTTCCCCCCATTCTGATTTGCTGAACTCTCTAAGCAAGCTATAGAGATCATGTATATGTTTCATTCTTAGAGAAAAGGACAATCAACTTATGTAAAGAGCCATATTAGGCAGGGGACAGTGTCCCAATATCTGAATATTTTTGCTTATTTAGTTCCTTCTTACTGAAAAAAAAATTTTTCCCTCTCCATCCCTCTCTTTTTGTCCTTGTCTTTTTCAGTCAAAGAGTTAATGAATGATCCCAGGCACTGATGCTGATGAAGATGTTTTGTCAGTCAGTAAAGATAGAAAAGAACTCAGAGGTAAAACTTGGACCCTCTTGAAAACTGATCTTCCTTTCATCTTGAAATTTTTATCAGATATGTGTTTGCACCCTGTTTTCTGTACTACTACTAAACTTAATTGTGTCTTTGGAGTCAGAGACGTAACTAATTGTAAACCTTATTCCACCACTTCCTAGCCCTGTGATGCTGGGCAAATGATTTATGTTTTGTGATCCTCAGAACTTTGTATATTTTCTATATTCTAGATGCAATGTTATACCCTTCACATAGATATTATTTTATTCTTCACAAAATCCTTATTAGATGGGCACTACTATTAATAAATCAGATGACAAAAGTCATACCTCTTCAGTTATCAATCGTATGTACTCATACACACACACACACACACACACACACACACACACACACACACACACACACGAGAGATTTTTAGAGCAGTTATTTCCTGGGTAGACCAGAAACATGAACATCACCTGAAAAGTTGTCAGAAATTCAGATTCTCAGATCCCACCTCAAACCTTTTGAATCAGAGGTTCTCACGGTGGAGTTTGGCAATCTGTGTTACTACAAACTGTTCCAGTGATTCCAGTGCACACTGAAGTTTGAGAAACACTGCTTTGAGGGCAGAAACACAATGCTTATTCTTGTACACACCACTAGAGGGTGCTACAGAATGCAAAGCAAAATAATACTTTACGGTATCTGTTTTCAGACACCCTGCATATAATCAGTCCCGTTTTACAGATTAAAAACTGATATGTAGAGGTGTCAAATTATTTTCCCAGTGCACACAACAAGTATGGGAAGCAGAATTTGAGCATTACTGGCCTTGAGCCTAAGCCTTTAACAGTACTTTGTTCAACTGTAATAGTTTGTCTTTCTGGGCCTCAGATATCTTGTTCCCTGCTTTGGTGAATATTGACTGAAATGTCAAGAAGAGGACAGGATAGCAAACCAAACAGATGGAAATATTTTGATGATTTTCATACCCTTTATCATCTCCATTCTATAATAGGATATCACACAAGGGCTCATGAGTGTTTTCCCTCTTGCTTTTTAATTTCTCAAATCTTCTCACTACTCTGCAGTTATCCTTTTTTAGTTTTTATGTCTGAATGTCTTTAATCTGTGATGGAGGAATCAGGATAGTGAGGAAACAAAGTTGTTGAAAACCTATTATGGGCCACATACTCTTATAGCTCTATACCCATTAATCTCAACAATAGGCCTATAAATTAGGTGATGGTTATCATCATCTTGTAGATGATGAAAGTGAGTTATGGAGTGTGTAATTATTTTTTATAACTCATAAATCATGGAGCCTGGATAATTCCTTGTATATCTGACCCTATTATCCTACTAACCTTTCTCTCCTCACCTTTCAATCTGGTTTAGTTACTTACTTATTAAGTGACTTTTAACAAGTTCTTTAACTTTTCTAAGCCTCAGTGTCACCATATATTAAGTGAACAAATATTTCTGCTTCATAATCTTAGATCCACACCATCTGGTATAGTAGACACTAGTCACATGCCATTATTTAAATTTAAATTAAATTAAAAATTCAAGTTGAACTAGCCCCATTTTGAGGGCCTAATAGCTACTTATGGTTAGTGGCTACCATCTTAGCACAGATACAGAGCAGTTCCATCATCTCAGAAATTTCTACTGGCCAGTACTGATTTAAAGGACATAATGTATGTAAAAGGGCCTAGCATGGTACATGTCTCATGGCAGGTGCCCAAGAAAAGTGATTTTCTCTGCTCTTCTCTTTCAGCATCAGAGCTAGGGGGTGTTCTGTTTTATTGACAGGGTCAGGAGAGGGGAGTAACTTATCCAAGGTACTATAACAAGGGATATGTCTAGCAATGGAACCCACATCTTCTGACTCTTGCTCCAGCATTCTGTCTAGTAGACCCATCGTTATGCTGTACTGAGTGGGGTTTCAAGGCCAAGGAGGTGCATAGTGTCAATTAACTTTGGAGTCAGGGTGGTAGCAGAAAAAGGCATGGGAACTGAATGCCACATATGTGCCAGGCAGCACTGTGCCCAGCTCTTTATATCTGTTATCTTACTGAATCCTCACTGAAGCCCAGAGAAGTTAAACACTCACCCCAAGTTGCTCAGCAAGTAAATAGCAAAGCAAGGATTCACACTTCTGACTTTAAAGCCCAGGCTTTTCTCATTATGCTATGATACCTCTTCAAATGTGAACACTCCCCTGTCACCTCCGCTTACTAGTGAGAAAAGGCTTCAGCAGATTCCTGATTCGTAGTAGGTCTTCAGAAAATGCGAATTACTCTTCTTTTGAATTTGTAGCTGAACCACTGTCTTCACAATCTGTTTAAACTGGAAGGGAAAGATAGCTTAGGTCAATGTTTGTTCGGCTCCAAGGCTCAAGGCCAGAGACTATTTATGGTCCCATCCTTCACAGGACACGCAATGGCTCCAAGAACCCAGTGTTGATTTTCAAGGCCACCATTAGCTCATACAGTGCCTTTGTGCTAATTAGAAACATGTGCCACCTGGGGGCAGACAAATTGCAGAGAAGTGTCCATTCCAGTGGAACAATGAGAAAAATGCTTTTCTTTCTCTGGGCTGTTGCAACTTCACCAGGGCAGTTGAAGAATGAATTTCTGTCAAGACTCATGCCCTCTTAGTTGGGCACCCTTGTGCAGGGTGCAGCCTACTCAGCATTATCTGCTGGCCTTACTTGTCTTAATGCCGTGGCTAAGGCAGCCTTCCTAGGTGTGGAGGGTAGTGGTCAGTCTATTCTGGAAAGTGAAGAGAGACACCATGTCCTCCCATGGCTTCTGGGTAGTAGATGAAATTGGTCTATTCTGAGGTTAATTTGATATTTTAAAGATTTGGTTCTGACTAGCTCATTGGATGTTTTTAAAAAGAATATTTGGTTGATGTAAAAATTAAAAACAAAACCTAATATTTCAAGGTTAAGCAAAATGGTATTTCTTTAACGAGGATGTTTTTCTATCTATTTATACCTGCCTCATTCCATAGGAATTTTGTAAAACCGGTCCAGTAACGTAGTCTGGATCAATCTGGTTTGCTAGCCTGTGACACAGGGCAGAAGATGGAAATAGTCATGGGAAAGTTTTATCCTTTTAGGAGTATCTATTCTTTTCTAGTTCTTCCCTCCTCCTGTGATCACTCCCCCACCCCAACTGACCCATCCGTTTGACAGAAAAGGGTTACTTCCAATGAACGAAAGCACTGAGAACCTGAACCTAATCAGTGACGTCCTTGGGTGACCTTGGGTTGCACCGGACTTGAGTTGCACATTAATCCCTTGTTTTTCCCTTCCTAGTTAATAGTTTAGCATGCAATTTACCAAAATTCATGGTTTCTGAACCACAGACTTTACTTGGAATGATCGTGTAAAGTCATTCGTGTTACACATCAACCAACAGATAAGGACTGATTTCTACCAGTGTACACTGACCCCTATAAGCCAGGCTATTGCCTCAGGAGGCTGCCTTAAGCTGTTTTTCCAGAGTTGAGTTTGCTTATGCTTATAACCTCCGCCTACAGTCCCCATTTCTCTGGCAATGATAAAAGCTATGCTTTTTAAAAACATCAGCTGTCGTATTATTAAAAGAGGACAAACCAGTAGTACTTAAAGTGCTGCATCTAAATTGTTGAAGCTTAAGGCTGGGTACATGGAGGTTCATTATACTGTTTTTCCTACTTTTGTGTATTTTTTTTTTTCATTTTTTTATTTTTTTTTAAAAGCCAGTCAAATTTAGCAGTGGGGGGTTGAATACCAACTTTAGTGACACTAATGTGAATAAGTTCTGATAACCCACTACCATCGGACCAGCCTTTTGTGTATTTTTGAAGGTTTCCATAATAAGATATTTTTTAAAAGACAAAAAAGAATGTTTTAAAGTGCTGCATCAGTCCTGGGGAAGAGAATGCATGTGGGTTTCTCTTTAGAGGGGTACTTATTACCCAGGAGTTGGGTGGGCACACCCTTTAGTAGGGGTATACCTTGTAAAAATCTGGGGATGGGGGTATTTTAGATTGAAAAAGCCTCTTTGCCAGAAATTCTGACAAGGTCTCCTAGAAGGGGAATCTCCTCCTGCCTGCAGTCTCCCCCTACCAAACTCCACAAGATACCTTGCCATAATGAGCCACTTAGTGAAAGAAGTGTATCATATCCCTTGGGCATTTGGGAGTCAGAGGAGCTTGAAAGCTACAGAAACAGGCTTCAGCTAATTGGTGGAAACCGTCAGCCAGCAGGCAGAGAAACACAGGCAAAGGGAATCTGGGGGCAAGAGACAGAACTAGGAGTGTCATGGGGTTGCATTGTCACGCCAGGTGAGTGCTGGAGAGGGCAAGGCTGCTAAGGAAGGATACCAGGGAGCAGAATATGTGGCAGAGGCTTAGGACCTAAGGGTATTCTTGGAAGGCTCTAGTGCCCATCTGATTTACAGTTTTCAAAACAGTGGGAAAGCGCCCTGAAGGCAAAGATCACACATACATATGCAAGCACACACACACATGCACACACTTTCAAGGACCTGGAACCTGACTGTTCAGCTTGGAAAGGCAGGTTCCATAACGTACACATTGAAAACTGTGGCTTTTTTTGGTTGCGGTTTTTACCACTTAAGAAAATGAAGGTCTTTGTACACTGCTGGGAGTGGGCAGATATGGTTGGAGAGGTGGGGCAATGTTTAGGATGTGGGGACTTCAGAGGCCATGTTTTTTCAAGGTCTTGAGTTTGAGATAAAATGATTTTGAAACAGGGGACAGAGAAGGGAGCAAGGACAGTTCCTAAAAGGTACATAGCTGAGATTCACCCAGTTGCTCTCAGGCCAGAGTTGTGGGTGGGACATCAGTGAGACCCAGACGGGTACAGCCAGCTTTCAATAGAGCTGGTCTCTGAAACTTGGCTGAGAGGACAGAGGAAGATTGATGTTTGCTCCAGAGTGGGGCTGTCAGCTGTGCTCACCGCCTCACCATGCTCCCAGCTGTAAACAAAAGTCCTGGCCCTTCATGGCACTGCAGAGCAGTCCAGGCTGGCGTAAGTCTCTGAGGACAGCTAGACCATTTTCTCATCCTGGCTGACAACCAGAAGACAGAAGAAACAATAGAAGGTGGTTGTGGGGGCAGGATTGCAAGGGGGTGAGAAGCAGTGACTAGTGGGAAGGAGCTGTCAATTTCAGATATTAGGCCTTTGGATACAAGTACTTTTAAAATTCTTGTGGGGAAAGCAGACCCCTTTCTTTGTCAGCTTCACAGAAAATAGTGAATTACTAAAGGAGGCCTGTAGGGACTCTAGTGCCTCATTCATTCATTCATTCTTTCTTTCTTTCAATGAGTACCTTATGTGCCCATCACTGGGCTAGGTCCCCTGCCTAGTGATGCCAAAGTAATAGAAGACATCTTGTAAATTTAAGGAGCTTACAGGGAGTTTGGGAATATATGTAAAATTAAGTAACAATACTAAATAGTATGTCTTTAAATGCTAAGTGACAAACACACTAGGAGTTGAGAAGCAAGAGTGGTCATATCGGGCTGTCATCAGAGAAGGTGGGGTTTCAGAAGGCTATAGAAAGATTTGGCTAGGAATAAAAAGTAGCAGGCATTCCAGGCTAGGACCAAATCATTAGTAAAAATGAGGCCTGCTTTGGCTAAAGCAGGTTAGTGTGCCGGAGCCTCTCTTCACTTCTCTCCCCCTCATGCTCCTCCGTGGCTAACCCAGTCTTCAAGACAGACTCATTTTAAATGTCACTTCCTCAGGGAGGACTTTTCTGATCTCCAGGACCAGGTTAGGTACTCTTGCTTTATGTTCCCATAGCACACATTACTCCCCCCTTTCTGAGACACCACCATTTTCACCTGGTGACCCACTCTTGTCTCCCTACAATTTGTTCTCCACACTGCAGTGAGAATTTTTTCATAAAATGCAAATCTGTCATATTACTTCCCTTCCTTTTTAAAACTCTCCTACCCCTAACACCTTCCTTCTCCTTTGCCTCCCTGGTCCTTCCTGCTTCTTTTTTTTCTTTCTTTCTTTTTTGAGACAGAGTCTTACTCTGTTGCCCAGGCTAGAGTGTCGTGGCGTCAGCCTAGCTCACAGCAACCTCAAACTCCTGGGCTCAAGCAATCCTCCTGCCTCAGCCTCCCGAGTAGCTGGGATTACAGGCATGCGCCACCATGCCCAGCTATTTTTTTCTATTTTTAGTTGTTTGGCTAATTTCTTTCTATTTATAGTAGAGACGGGGTCTCGCTCTTGCTCAGGCTGGTTTCAAACTCCTGACCTTGAGCGATCCGCCCGCCTCGGCCTCCCAGAGTGCTAGGATTACAGGCGTGAGCCACCGCACCTGGCCCCTTCCTGCTTCTTTCCCTCTGAGGGCAGGGGCTCTGTTTCTTCTTCACCATGTATCCTCTCTATTTGGCACAGTGTATGACATAATGTGGTAGGCACTCCACAAAAATTTGTGAATGAATCCAAGGGAGATGAGATAATATTGGTAGCTGAAAGCCAGCCTGAAGGATTGATCTTATGTACAAAAGGAAATGTTCTCTCCCTCTCTGTTCCTCCCACTACTCCCTCCTCCAAAAACGCAAGAAAACTTATTTATTGATCCTTTTAACCAGAGAGATTTGGCAGTATGGCCAAATGCACTTACTTTCACACGTGCAGTTGTTTATGGTACTGACATTTGTTGCTCACCTCTGTTGTTCTAAACACTGTGCTCATAGCTACAGAGGAAGGAGGCTTTCTTCATACCTTGTTGGAGCTCACAATTGAGAGAACCACTGATCACTCACTTGGTAGCTTCAAATTTCTGGTGAAGGGCTTTGCTCTACCTGGGATCAATGAAGGAGCCTTTTGAAGGTACTAGAGCCCGCAAAGGACCTCAGTCTCAGGGGTAGGCTGTCTGTAAAACTGGGGACTCAGTGAGACTCGAAGAATGGTTACCAATGCCAATTTACACTAGATTTTTACCCTCTCATAAGGAAGCTAAATGGCAGGGTAGTGAATATCTGGAAGGGTGTTCAGGTAGTAGCCATTCTTTAACCTTATTAGGCTGGGCTTACTAAGCCAAACAGGCCACCCAGGCTCACCTCTTTAGTGTCCTGAGTCAAGCAGGATGGAGGAACAAGGAATGACAGTCAAGGAATGACAAGAAAGGAATGACAGGAAAAGGAATGGGATTTTCCAATAAAAACAGAAGACCTGACCTGTATCTTGAGGGGGACTGAAACAAGAATGTAGCTCCAAGAAACTTTCCAAAGACAATCAATCAAAGCACACCGGCCCTCACCCTGGGTAGCCATTAATGGCAGGGGATGGGATTTTTAATCTTAGATTTGGATCCCAAGTGCTTGGGAGGGCAGCAAATGAAGATGTCAGAGACACAATACACATTCATCCTCTTTACATCCCCGCCTCTGCCCCAAGGAAGGCAAAAGGGAAGAAATGGATACTATTTTGTAGCTGCAGTCCTAACTGGATAACACTTGGCTGAAGAATGACACCACACAAGTTATCTATAATGGGTTTGAAGATATTAATATATTCATTAGTTTTGACCCTCTCCCCCTCCCTTGAATCCTTATCCCAGTCATGAATTTACTACCAGAATATTAGAGACGACATTAGTAGCAGATAGACACAAATGAGATTAATTTCCATGATTCATTGCTCATCTCTGTTAGGTGGCCTGGGGTGAAGAGGGTTCATACACCTGGAATTTGAAATCTAAATGAGATGGGACAGGGAGGTTTAACTCCAAAATCCATGAAGTACGTTTCATAGAAGAATAATGAATTAACAAAAAACCACATTATCTCCTTCCTTTAAGGACCAGCCCAAAGCTTAGGCCAATCAAATCATGTTAACAGATTTTGTTTCTATTAGGAAAAGACTAAAAGAAGTCTAAGGAATTTACAAAGAAACCCTGGTGAAGGAAATTCTGAATTTCTAGAATCTGGAGCTTGGTTTGACCATTTTACACCTGTAACATCATCCTAACTGTTGCCAAGATTTGTGCTATCCCCTTTCTATGGGGACTATGGACATCATATTAATAATATGGATATCAGTCAACAAATGAACAAGACAGAGGTTAGGGACTGAATGGTCATCACAGGAAGAGTTTACTCTGATGCAGATTACCTTTGGCTGTGAATTCGTTGCAGTCTACGAGTTAGAGCAGTCCCAGAAGTGAGTCTCTGAAGCGAATAAACGATGACACACTCTAGTCTTTCACTTTCTATTCTATTCTATCTTTTCACAGCTTCAACTAAGTTGAGAAAAAAAGGAGGTTTACACCTAGGGCCTGGGCTTTGCCCAGTCAAGCCCTCAGTATCTCCATGTTGTCTGATAGGCAGACCAGACTAAATTATGTGGGATGGCCCTTCCAGCTCTGTTGTGCCAGGTCCTAGAATTCTAAGACATTGTGACCTATTGACCCAGTTGTATTATGGGAAACCCCATGAGTCATTAGTTTTTTAAAAGAGCCAACTGTTTGTTTCCCAAAATGGAAATAGTGGTGAGAGTTAAATACAGTCAAGATAGCAAATGTGTTGCTTGACCAATGGTCCCAAGCATTCTTGCCCTTCTGATGGTTAGGGCTGTCTTTACAACAGTGATTCTCATTGCCTGAAGTAGTTAGGGATTAGCTTTAAACTGAGGACTGATAAGACAGAGATCCTGAAGCAAGCACTGTCAGTAAGTGTAAGGGGAGGTAGGGGGACAAGTATTAAGGACTTCTGTAGGTTGATAACTTGAAGAGGGGCTTAGAGTCAGAAAGATGTGCAATTGTTAGATTCCCTTGTCATGACTGCCCTTCATTTCAGCCTATTCTCGAAAAACAAGGTCTTCCTTATACCATTAGCCAAATATTAATAATACAACTGTAACACTCCTTGACCTATAAAATGCCTTACATTAATAGTTGTAGATAATGCAGTTTTTTTTTTTTTTTTTTTTTTTTTGAGACAGAGTCTTACTTTGTTGTCCAGGCTAGAGTGAGTGCCGTGGCGTCAGCCTAGCTCACAGCAACCTCAAACTCCTGGGCTCGAGTGATCCTTCTGCCTCAGCCTCCCGAGTAGCTGGGACTACAGGCATGCGCCACTATGCCCGGCTAATTTTTTTTTTTTATATATGTATCAGTTGGCCAATTAATTTCTTTCTGTTTTTTATAGTAGAGACGGGGTCTCGCTCTTGCTCAGGCTGGTTTTGAACTCCTGACCTTGAGCAATCCGCCCGCCTCGGCCTCCCAAGAGCTAGGATTACAGGCGTGAGCCACAGCGCCCGGCCGATAATGCAGTTTTGATTTTCAATTTTTTTTCTTTTGAGACAGAGTCTTGCTCTGCTCTGGTGCCTGGGCTAGAGTGCAGTGGTGTCAGCCTAGCTCATAGCAACCTCACACTCCTGGGCTCAAGTGATCCTCCTGCCTCATTTTCCTGGGTAGCTGGGACTACAGGTGCGAGCCACAATGCCTGGCTAAGTTTTCTATTTTTTGTAGAGATGGGGTCTCACTCTTGCTCAGGCTGGTCTCCAACTCCTGTGTTTTTAAAAATTTTTTAAAGAAGCAGTAGACTCTCTTCTTGTCCTCCCTCCCCATCCCAAATAAAATATTGTGTTGGGCCAGATGTGGTGGCTCACACTTGTAATCCCAGTGCTTTGGGAGACTGAGACAGAAGGATTGATTGAGGCCAGGAGTTCAAGACCAGTCTGGGCAACAAAGCGAGACCCTGTTTCTAGCAAAAAAAAAAAAAAAAAAAAAAAATTATGGTGAAGCATATATATAAACTGAAAGTGGAGTTACTCTGACTGAAAGGTTTGTATATGTGTGTGGGGTGGAGGGTGTGTGTTGCAACCTGTTAAATCCCTTGCCCAATAGATAAGGCATTGTACTGTATTGAAAAATAGGAAACCTGCATTTTGGTTTTGTTGTGAGACTTGAGTAAATCCCTTAACCTCTCTAAGCCTCATTTCCTCACCTTTTGCATGGTTATGTGGTTATCTTACCTCAAAGGTTTGCTTTGAGGATGACATGCCACTTAAGTGCTTTGAAGAGGAAAAAAAAAAATACAAGGATGGTTATTACCTTGATAGTATGGTCCTTCAAGATACAACCCTTGCAAAGAAAGTATAGTTGGTGAGAACTTGCACTACGATTAGGTAGTTAAAAAGTTTTTTTGAACTACAGTGCTCATTACTTAAAAAAAAACTTATCTAGCATTTCATCATTTCATGCTGTGAACTTGGTATGGGGAATACAAAGATAAGTACATTATAATCCTTGACCTCAAACTCATATTTATGTGTAAGGGAAATAGACAAAAGAACACTATATAATCTTATAGGTATAAATATAGACCTACGTAGAAGGCATTATCAGAGAAACTGAATCTATCTGGATGTTGGGGTGATAGATTTTGAGACTGCTTCTCAGAAAACATGATGTCTGGCTAGAGTCTTGACAGATGAGTAGAAGTCCCTCAGGTGGTCAAGGGAAGGCATTTAAAGGCTAGGGAACAGCATGTGCAAAGGCACAGAGCATTAGACAGGATGAGTTGCTGAGTTCAAGAATCTGTGGGTGGACCACATGGCCAAATGCAGGGCGCATTGAGGGGAGCGATGAGAGAAGAGGCTGGGGCACTGGCACAGGCTTTTTCCTGAGGCAATAGGGAGCTATTGAAGGATTCAAAGCAAGGGAATGTCATAAATAGATTGTTTTAGAAAGGTCAAATTGGCAATAGTGTGGAGGATAGGAAACCATACTGGAGTCACAGATTGAGCCAAGACGAGGTCAGAGAGGATAGAGAAGGAGGAAGAGATTTCAGAAGTATTTGAAAGGTCAACTCAACAGGACTTAGTGATTGATTTTTATCTGAGGGCTGTGGAAGGTGTTGTCAAGGATGACTCCCAGGTTTCTGGCGTAGGTGACTCATCAAGATTGAGAAGATGAGCAGATGAGGTGGCAGAGAAAGTTAGGAGATTATGAGTTGTTTGGCTCTTGAGGTACTCATGGGATGGAGGTGGAAACAAGGGAATCATCAGCATACGGGTTGTCACAATCACGGAACTAGCTGAGAACAGTCAAGCAGTAGGTATGCGACGAGAAGTGAAAGCCAGGGATGAAATCCTGGAGAATAAGAACACCAAGAAGCAATGTCCAGAGGGGCAAGAGAAATTAAGAGAATGACAGCCATGGGAGAAGAGAATTTCAAAGAAGGTGTGACAACTCTGACAAGGTTCCAGAGAGGTCATGAAAGTCTAGGACTTTAAAGTGTTGACTTGATAGAGCAATTAAGAAGGTAATGTGAGGAGCATGGTGAAAGCACCCGAGGTGGGTAGGGAGAAGAAGGCAGAAGATTACAGTGTGTTAGGGAGTAAATGGTAGAGGTGACTATGGAGAAATGGCTAATAAGGACATTTCTTTTAAGAAACATGGTGGTAAATGAAGGAGGGCAATAGGTCAATAGACCTATTCAAGATCAAATGTAGAAGGCTGGACGCGGTGGCTCACGCCTGTAATCCTAGCACTTTGGGAGGCCAAGGCGGGCGGATTGCTCAAGGTCAGGAATTTGAAACCAGCCTGAGTGAGACCCCGTCTCTACCAAAAATAGAAAGAAATTAATTGACCAACTAAAAATATATATAGAAAAAATTAGCCGGGCGTGGTGGCGCATGCCTGTAGTCCCAGCTACTCGGGAGGCTGAGGCAGTAGGATTGCTGAGCCCAGGAGTTTGAGGTTGCTGTGAGCCAGGCTGACGCCACGGCACTCACTCTAGCCTGGGCAACAAAGTGAGACTCTGTCTCAAAAAAAAAAAAAGATCAAATGTAGAGTAGTTTTTATTTTTATTTTTTATTTTGAATAGGAGAGACTCTCTTCTTCCTTCTTTTCTCTTCCTCCTCTTCTTCCCCCTTCCTCTTCCTCCCTCTGCTTCTTTTCCTTCCCTTCCCTCCTCCTATTTCTTCCTCTCTCTCTCTGAAAAAGCTTAGGCTCAAAGAGATTAAGTCATTTTCCATGTTTACATAGTTTGTAAGCATGTTTTATGCCAGCAGGAAGAACCCAGTACAAGTTAAGAAACTGAAAATATAAAAGAGAGGTGATTTTACCTTGATCTTTTTTGTGAATGTGGGCTCAGCAAGATGAGACCCACAAAATGGAAATTCAAACTTCCAAACAGTCCCATGTGTTAGAAACTGGACAGGTGTAGAAGAGAGACTATGTTGATATAGTCTGTTCATGTCAGAGCTAATTTTTATTGAACACTTACTATGTGCCAGGCACTGAGTTAAGCATTTTACCTGCATTGTCTCATTTAATTCTCACAACAACCCTGTGAATTAGGTACTATTATTGCCTTCATTTAACAGATGTGAAAACCAAAGCACAGAGAAGTTCAGTGATTGACTCAAGGCCACATAGTTACTATGTGCTGGATCTTTCAGAGCCTTCACATATCTGTTTTTTATTTTTTATTTTTATTTTTTTGAGACAGAGTCTCGCTTTATTGCCCAGGCTAGAGTGAGTGCCATGGCATCAACCTAGCTCACAGCAACCTCAAACTCCTGGGCTCAAGCAATCCTGCTGCCTCAGCCTCCCGAGTAGCTGGGACTACAGGCATGTGCCACCATGCCCGGCTAATTTTTTTTATATATATTAGTTGGCCAATTAATTTCTTTCTATTTATGGTAGAGACGGGGTCTCGCTCTTGCTCAGGCTGGTTTTGAACTCCTGACCTTGAGCAATCTGCCCACCTCAGCCTCCCAGAGTGTTAGGATTACAGGCATTAGCCACCGCTCCCGGCCCACATGTCTGTTTAGAGGAGAAAACTGAGGCCGAGGGAAGTGAAGTCATTTTTCCAAGAGTCCATATCTAGTAAGTGCTGGAATTGTAGTTCAAACCCAGGCTCTGTTTGGTACCAAAGCCACCACACTGTTTTAATCACTACACTGTCATGAATGGAAGCTATTAAAATAGAGAAAGTGGGTATATTTTTCTAGATCCAGCTCTGTAAGGCAAAATGTTCCCTGAATTTAGATGATGGTGAGAATTTGCCCTTATTCCAGGGAATTGATAGTGAGAGCATGTACTTCCTCGGTAATGCACCACACAATATAATGCAACCGGGATATTTGTAGAAAGCCTCATGGTGAAAGCAGAGACTGGGAAAAACAGAGCTACTCAGGCAGGATGACAATGGCTGATTTCTCATGTGACTTCTTCAGGTGGCTCCATGACATCAGACTTACTTCATCATCCTTCCATGAAGAGAATGCTCTGTGAGGGAGAGATAGCCTTTTGGCTCAGATGCCCTTCTCCCTTCTGTGATCTAAGATTTGCTAACAAGCTGTTCTGATGCCACCAGCCCAAGTCTGTAGACTGTAAACGTTATCCCAGTTGTGGAGTGTGATGTAGCAAAGGGCATGAGGCTGGGAAGAGCAGCTCAATCGCTACCCCTTCAGAGATACGTGGCCCTCCTGTGGGAACAATGTGTAGAACAGGCAGAGACAGGTGGCTGTACTGCCAAAATCCCCACTACTGTACTCACTTGTCACTGCCAGGGACAAATGATATCTGGTGATTGGCTTTTGAAATAGAGCTTGATACTAGTCTTCATATTTGGAGCATTATTAATGTTTAATCAGAACATTATCATTCTCAGTCCATTGATGCAATTTACAAGGTTTTACTGTCTTCTTAACTTTGGTTCTATTACATATAAAGACCAGTTAGTGCGTGCCTGTGTGTGTGTGTGTGTGTGTGTGTGTGAACTCTATCAGATTTTATAAGATCTCTTCCAGGTCTGTTTTTCTGTGATCAATAAGGTAACAGAAAGAGAATGAGCAGAAATGTGGTATACACTAAATCAAGTGGAAAGTCATGCTATCATTCTACATGCACATACTGAGTATTGCTAGGTACCAGGAGCTATGTGGGCTAAAAATATGCAGTTCTTGCCCTCAAAGAGCTTATTCTACATTTCTTTCCTTGAGCAAATTATAATGCTACCTGGCTTCCTAATCCCCGAGTGGTTCCCATGTTTGGTTAGATTTGTCTTTCATCGACACAGCAGCCTAGGAAGGTCTTTAACCCTAACATAATGAAATCATATTTTAGTTTTGATAGCCAGAAATGATGATATAATAATAATAATAACTAGAGTATTGACAATAGCAAATGTTGGAGAGTAAATAGTAAAAGAGTGGAGAGAGACAAGTGGGGGCACATAGAAAGATTCTAAGGCGGTGTATGTTTTAGACAAAGTTGAAATTTGTGTGGCTTAGTTAAAAGAGAAAATAACTTCAAGGGTCAGCATTTCAGCTAGCAGGTTGTCAGTTCTTTGGTGATAGGTGAGGAAAAATACTTATGGGAGAAAGTTAAAGGAATAAATTTTATTCACTGTCTTTGTTCCACATAAAAATCTCTTTTTGCTTTGCCCGTGAATTCTGGGAGAGCAAGAGGCCCTGCTAGTGGACCGAGGAAAAAGAGGAAGGCAGACCACTGGTGTTCCAGAGAGCAGAGCAAACTGAAGGGAAGATAGAGGCACTGATAGCCTTAACAACAACTGAATAAATAAAGCCCTTTCTTTGGAAAAATATATGTATAAAATATTTAGCTGGCATTAAATATTAACGATGAATTAATGAAAACACCCGAAACACTTTATTTATGTAGGAAGTTCCCCCCCCCCCTTTTAAAAAAATGCTGTTTTAAGTCTCAAAATCACTTCAGATGTGATCCAGGCAGAAAGTAGTGTGGTCTCTGGAGGGTACTCCAAGAATGACAATAAATGGAAAGTGACCTCCAAGTGAGCCACTTATATTACCTCCTGCCAATTCACTATGGTAAAAAGGGTCCAAGCTCAAGAATTCCATAATTGAATGGATTGCTAGGTGTTAGGTGCACCCAGCCAGACCCAGCATTCCCCCAACCCCTCTACATAAGTGGGAAGGGTAAGGAAAATAAAAGCTATTTGCACCTGATTCTGACACCAATGCATCTCCCTTGTCTGCTTGGGGGCTCCTATGGGGAGAGACAGTACCTTCCACCTGGCATTGCCTCTGAGTAGCTTTGTGAGCTCCTTTGGGCTATTATGTTGGTTGGTACTTTGGCTTCTTTGGCTCCCAGCACCAGCTGATGCCCTGATCTGAGTCCCAGTTGGGCAGGCTCTATTGCTCAGTGCTGTAGCTGTCTCCAGGGCATTGTTCTTGAGACTTCCAACAGGGCAGATTTGTGCAGTTGGCCCATCTGGACAAGATCTATAACAAGTAGAGCTCTGTGCAATAAGCTCATCTCCATAGTCCACCCCCCGCTACCCCCGCCTTCGGGCTGCAGCAGCCTGACACCCCAGCCCCGCCATGGAGAGTATCAAAGAGATACTCTCTGCTCCTTTCAAAAGGGTATTGCTTGTGGTCTCTCATTGATTGGCACTACCTGGGCAGAAATGAGAAAACAGGGGCTCTCTGCCCTTCTCAATTCAATCTCCTCCCTTAAGCCTGTTCTTTAGTTTTAAATCTTCTTAGCACCAGAGTGATAATATTGTCAATAAAAATAATTTCTGGCCCAGCTACTCTAATCAGCCCAAAATGCTCTCCTCAAAACCAAAAGACAGACAAGAGCAGTATCTAAGTGGACAGAAAAGAGCAGATAAGCTCAATAGGGAAAAGGGAGAAAGAAAACCGAGCTCTTGGTTTGAATATAGGATTGGCTTCAAACGTTGGATTTATTGACTTTCAATTTGGAACACCATGTGGAGAGAGGAAGGGAGGAAGGGAGGGAGGAAGAGAAAGAGAGAGGGGGTGGGGAGAGAGAGAGAGAGAGAGAGAGAGATTGGACTTAATGTGGTTAATCATTCTAGCTTCAGAGAAAAGGAAAAGATGTCTAAGAGATCATTCGATCACCTCTTTCTTCCAGCTATTAGCCCCACACTTTAGTCTCTCCAGTTTCACTTCCTCACAGTTGGGTCACTTCAAAGGACTCAGTGTGCCAGACACATACATCCTCATGTCCTAATGGTATGTCAGGCCTGATGGGCTTTTCCATACAAACCCTCTGTATTCTGACATTTCTGATAGCTTCAACTAACTGCTACACCTCCTAACCACTCCTCACTGTGGAAGGAGAAGGGAAGCAAGACAAGGGTGAAGAAACAACTCTGACTCATGGCTCTCTAACTTCTACAACTGCTACCCTGAGGTTGGTCAAGTCAGTGTTTGTCCAGGATAGGGGTCCTCTGTGTGCCTATTTCCTCCCCAGGTACCTCAAAGCCCACTCTATCCTGAACAAGGTTGCATGATAACATTGTTTTCTCACGAAAAGGAGCTGAAGGAGCAAGTTGGAAATGAGAGATCCTGAAAAATAAAGAAACTTTGGAGAAAAAAAGAAACAAATGAAAGTCCAGCCAACAAATGACTCTGAGGATAGTTTCTATATTCTACTCCTCCTGGGCCCTACTACCTTGGATCTCCCTTTTCTTGAAAGTTTTCTAGCATCATCAACATTCTTTCTTAAAGAATAACCTTTCTCTCTTTTTATACTCCCCAGCAGTCCAACAGACCCTATCACCATGCTAGCTATTTAGGAATAGAATACATATTTGTTTTTTGGTTTTTTTTGAGACAAAGTCTCACTCTCTTGCCTGGGCTAGAGTGCTGTGGCATCAGCCTAGCTCACAGCAACCTCAAACTACTGGGCTCAAGCTATCCTCCTGCCTCAGCCTCCTGAGTAGCTGGGACTACCCGCATGTGCCACCATGCCCGGCCAAGTTTTTCTATATATTTTTAGTTGTCCAGCTAGTTTCTTTCTATTTTTTTAGTAGAGATGGGGTCTCACTCTTGCTCAGGCTGGTCTCGAACTCCTGAGCTCAAAGGATCCTCCCACCTTGGCCTCCTAGAGTGCTAGGATTACAGGAGTGAGCCACCGCCCCTGGCCCATGTTTCTGAGACCGGGAAGTTGAGGTGGATCTAGAAAGGTGGTCTTTCTGAGAGTCCAGTGTTTCTGCCCCAATTCTGACAGTGTGGGGCTTCCTAGGAAACTTGAACACCTCTCTGTTGGGTCGTATAGCAATGCCCTAGCCCAGTGCAGCCCATGACTGCTCCAACCTTGTTGGAGGCAGGGAACATGTGACTTTGCCTTCCTCTCACTGCAAGGAAACCTGCCTGGGTCACACAGGGCAGCACTTGTGGATAGAAAAGACTCCCTATTTGAGCCTACAGTAGGAGGGACAGAAAGGGCAGAGTAATAGCCAGGCTCTGGGTGGGAGTGGTGCAGATTAAGATGACAAATGCCAGAATCTAGTAGCAGTGGTCTGAATAGTCTCCACTAGAGCAGGCGTCCTCAAACTACGGCCCGTGGGCCACATGTGGGCTGCCTAGCACATTTATCCGGCCCTCTGGGTGTTTTTGCCGCCGCTGCCTGTCCTGCTTAGCAGCCGACTCGTCCCGGGCCCACAGTGCGCATGTGTGGAATGTGTGCCACACTCTGCAACAGCCCTCCAATGGTCTGAGGGACAGTGAACTGGGGCCCTGTTTAAAAAGTTTGAGGACCCCTGCACTAGAGTATTGGAAAACAGAGAGGCTCCAGCAAGGGCAGAAGGTCATCCTGGCCCCAGGAACATGGCCAAACCTCACTCTCATGAAAGAAATGGGAGAGTATGGAGAAAATCTAGACTAGGGTAGACAAGCCATCTTTGTAAGTACAGCCACCATTGGCACCATGCAGTATAGGCCCACGTAGCTTTGGGACTGGTAGTTGAAGTTCTGAGTTGGGAGATCAGGAAGGAACTGTTCAAGCCCCTGATGGAGTCTAAAGGAGGGGGAAAGCCACCCAGGAGGAGGCAAGAAGCCAGCAGCTGGACTCTATAGCCTTCATGCTGTTCACAGTGCCTGGTGGATATCTTCTGATCGCAGCACTTTATAGACAACCCAGTAGAAGATATTGAAGATTAGGAAAGTGAAAGGGAAGACAGCCCGGGAGATCGTGTCAATTCTCTTGGCTCGGTCCACGTAGAGTTTCCTCATGGTTTCTCCCTCCCTTAGAAGAGGGGCTGGAGGTTGGGGGCTATAAATGCCAGAACCTTCCATTGGCCCCCCATCCCTTGCCTGCAGGCAGTGGCCCAAGCCATAGCCACGGAAATAGAAGCGACTTTCTCGGATGATATCTTCCTCCTGAAGGAAGAAAAGGCAGAATTTGAGGTCAAAGTTCTAAGGCAGAGGGACAGAGACCAGGCCACACATTAATACCTCATAGGCGATGCTATGCAGACAAAGTGGCTGGGCACATAGGCCCACTATATGCTTTTTATGGCTACAGAACTACTACTCATGAGATAGATGTATGCTAAGCAGCTATATGTGCTGTGTATGATATATGTTATGATTCCGTTTGCAGATAAGGCCCCGAGCTGCCTTTGTGAAATGCATAACATCATTCAGAGCCATCTAAAACCTAGTGAAGTGCCAGCCACTGTGAGAGGGACATCTCAATGTCAAGTTATCTCTGACTGGTAATAAACAGAACAACAAAACCATTAGCCAGAGAAGCTGAGATATTTAAACTTAGTGCACTTGACTTTAATGACTTTCAAAAACTTTCTTGTATATAGTATCTTTTTAAAAAGTTATCTTGACTTAAAGCCGAAAATTCCAAAAGTTTAAAATAACCTTATGGGTAGGCCGGGCGCGGTGGCTCACGCCTGTAATCCTAGCTCTCTGGGAGGCCGAGGTGGGCGGATTGCTCAAGGTCAGGAGTTCAAAACCAGCCTGAGCAAGAGCGAGACCCCGTCTCTACTATAAATAGAAAGAAATTAATTGGCCAACTGATATATATATAAAAAAAAAATTAGCCGGGCATGGTGGCGCATGCCTGTAGTCCCAGCTACTCGGGAGGCTGAGACAGAAGGATCGCTCGAGCCCAGGAGTTTGAGGTTGCTGTGAGCTAGGCTGACGCCACGGCACTCACACTAGCCTGGGCAACAAAGCGAGACTCTGTCTCAAAAAAAAAAAAATAACCTTATGGGTTATCTAAATTAGGGTAAGGCTGCTCACTCTATTGCAGCTATGTGTGCTTGTCTGTAAATTTGAAACAGGGGTCAGTACATCCAGGGTGACATTCATTACCCAATGCATATTCCATTCATACACAATGCATGCCTTATAATAAACACATTAACACAGAAGAGGTAAACTTTATATAAGCACTAAGTAATGGGGCAGACTGCAGAAAGGCCATTTATCCAATAATCAGCTGACATCCTTAAGTAGCTATGACACAGGTGGGAGCCAGGAAGTAAGGACAGAGAGATATAAAAGATAGAGATGAAAACAGAGAGAGAAATAGAGATAGAGATAGAGAGAGAGTGGGCCAAAGCCCCTGAGTGATCAATAGTGATAGCTTTACTTATATATGAGGCCCTCAGGCCCCCACTCATAGCCTATTTAGTCTTATTTTATATATGACCCAAACAAACCTAATTTTATTTACTTCTAAAGGTCAGAGTTGAGAAACACTTCCTTTAAAGATGGTTATTATTTTAAAAAGCATTGACAATTTTGGAGTAAAAGCTTCAGCTGTCTAAGAAATCACCTGAAGTGCAGTGGCCCCTTGTAGGATGATGCCAGCTACCATCTCAGTTTGCCCAGGACTGAGGGGGTTCCTGAGACTCTCACTGCTAAAACTGGGGGAGTCCAAGGCAAATCAGGAAAAGTTGGTCACCCTACAGCTACCTGAGGCATTTACTATAAGTTAAAAGAACAAGATAAGTGTATATTTTATGGGTATAACATATGTGTGTGTGTGTATAAAATGTGGAGAAAGTAGGTTTTAAACACTGTGCAGTTGGAGGGACATCATAGGGTCTTTATAATGGGACCTCTGGAGCCATGATAACACATTGAAAAGTGGTTTCATAGATGAGACGTTGGTGTGCTGGGTCCCTGTAACCCTTGATTATGACGTCACCAGAAGCTGGCCTGTCATTGCATAGGCAAGTCAGTTACTGGACATCCGGGGCAGGCACGAGAAGGCTGGAGATTCGCCAACAGAACCCATCTTTTTGCTGTGCTGCCTGTGGGCTCATAGTATAAACTTGGGAAACGGCATCAGGCTTGGTCATGCCATCTCCCCAGTGCCTAGCACCGAGCCTGGAAACTAACAGGCACTCAGTAGATATCCACTGAATGAATGAAGAGACTGATGAACCGCATGCTTCAGAATACAGGGAAAGGAATGGCTTTTTGCTCTTGTGAAGCCAGTGTCCTCTCAGAGTCTCTCAGAGAAGATCCAGCTCAGAAGAGAATCTTACTGTTACAAAGTACTTGGCAGGGAAAACACTTTCTCCTTGCCCCACCCTGCACAATGGCCTGATGCTCTTTGGCCTCTAGAAAAGCAATGGTACTTTTAACACAGTTAAGAATCTCTCTCAATCTGCCCACCAGAGCGCTTTGCTGCCCAACCCTTGATTTTGTCAGAGTCTTTGTGGAGAGAGTTGTTCGTGTGTGGGCCAGAAGCAGTTCGCTGTTGCGGTCCTACTTTGACTCTGAGTTGTTGTACTGGGGCAGCATTAGCTCTCTGCTCTAAGTTATTTCCATGGCGCTCACCTCACACTATTCTCTAATCCATTTTCACACTATTCTGACAGGAGAGGTTGTGGTGGACCCATTTTAGAGATGAAGAACCAGAGACAAACAAAATATCTCACAAGGAATTGAGAAATGTGGGCGGTAAGTAAAAGGATTTTCTCCCTTGCTATCCAGTTCAGGATCCCTCAGGCCACCCTGTTTCCCACTGTTCACCCTGATCCCTCAGTGGCCCAGCTAGGGGACATAAGCACGGAATGTTGGCCAAAAATCTCTGAAGGAGAAAGTCAGATCCAACTGCTACTTCTGTTTCTATAGATCCAATTATTTTCCATTTTCTCCAATCACAGTAAATCTAGAGGGAATTTTTGGGAAATAGTGAGTATTTCCCAGGCTGGAAAAAGCCATTTCACATGGGAGAGAAAATATGCCCAATAGAGTAAAGCTGCTCTAGGCTCTTTTTGACTTTTTATTTTATTTTATTTACTTATTTTTTTTTTTTTTGAGACAGTCTCACTTTGTTGCCCCGGCTAGAGTGCCATGGCGTCAACGTAGCTCACAGCAACCTCAAACTCCCTGGCTCAAACAATCCTCCTACCTCAGCATCCCAAGTAGCTGGGACTACAAGCATGTGCCATCATGCCCGGCTAATTTTTTTTTCTATTTTTTAGTAGAGATGGGGTCTCACTCTTGCTCAGGCTGGTTTCGAACTCCTGACCTTTATCGATCCGCTCTCCTCAGCCTCCCAGAGTGCTAGGATTACAGGCATGAGCCACCGTGCCCGGCCCTCTTTCTGATTTTTTTTTTTTTTTTTTGAGACAGAGTCTCGCTTTGTTGCCCAGGCTAGAGTGAGTGCCATGGCGTCAACGTAGCTCACAGCAACCTCAAACTCCTGGGCTCAAGCAATCCTTCTGCCTCAGCCTCCTAAGTAGCTGGGACTACAGGCATGTGCCACCATGCCCGGCTAATTTTTTTATATATATATATCAGTTGGCCAATTAGTTTCTTTCTATTTATAGTAGAGACGGGGTCTCGCTCTTGCTCAGGCTGGTTCTGAACTCCTGACCTTGAGCAATCCGCCCGCCTCGGCCTCCCAAGAGCTAGGATTACAGGCGTGAGCCACAGCGCCCGGCCTCCTCTTTCTGATTTTAACATATTGTATCTCTTGCAGTTGAGGAATTTGAAGATGGGTGACCTGAAATCCAAGGGTAGGTGGTCCTGTGTTTGGATATTATCTATTTAGGTCAAATTCTGAGGGGTATCTGTGTGTGCTGGGGAGGGATAATAGAGCCTTAAATGCCACGTTGTGGCTTCCATGGCTGTTGAAATAGAACGTTTTTTTTTGTGTGTGCTGTTTATAGGGGAGAAGGGCTGAGAAGCTGGAGAGGGAAGATATTCCAAAAGCAAGCTGGGGAGAGAACGCACAGTGTAGGAGGTAAGGTGTGGAGATGGGAAGGAGTGATATCCATTAAAGTGAGAGAGGCTGGAAGAAAAGAGATTGGAGAATGGGGAATGGAAGCTGGTGCTAATGGATGCAGAGAGGTGACCAGGGTTCTGGGACCAAGTCTCTGAGAGGACTGGGCCGTATTTTGAAACTTCTTCCAGTTCCCAAGTTATTCTATTGATCGTGGCAAGGCTTTCACTCGTTCAGTTTGAGAGGGAGCCCTTGCCAATCAGCCTACAAAAGTTGGTAGGCTGGGTTATGCGGTTGCTGTGGCCAGAGCCTGGTGCGAAGGCCTGCTGAGGTGATGAAAAAGAGAGCTTCCCCCTTCCCTGGGAGGCTTATGGACTAGCTGGGAAGACAAAGTAGGAGAACACTGAAAAAATTAAACCGCTTTAGACAGTGACATGGAAGGAGACCACCATCTCATAGAGATGGATGGGTGAGGAGAGATTAGAGAAGAAAAACAGCTGGCAGACTCCTAGAACATTCCTAATTTGCTCTTGGCTAAGGGTTCCCTGAAAATGTTATGGATTCCCCTCCCTTCTCCGACAGGGCTCCTCTGAGACAGAGGACTTCTGTTTCTCTACCTGGAACAAAAAGGCCCAGAGACAGGTTCTAGAAATGAATTAACTCTCCATCAACTCTTTCAGCCTGCTTGGTGCCTCGAGGATTCCTGCTACAGGCAATGGGATGGCAATGGCTTTAGAAGACTTGAAAAAGGGACATGATTAATGGCACAGGTTTGATTTTCAGGTTTTATTCCCATTTATAATAAGCCTCAGCCCACTTTCAGGCAGGCTCCAGGGTCCTCAGCAGGGAGGGCCCAGTCTGCTGTCATAACTCTGTAATAATTGAGCCCTAGCTATGACACGCTCCATTATGAGCTCAGGAGCAATGTGTATATGAGCAGGAGGGGATAGGCCGTGGGCAGCTGGGAGTTGGAGGGGCGCAGGGAAGGAGGTGGGACGAGTGTCAACCTGGAGTAGCCCTACAGTAACTCTGGAAGCCTTTTGTTGCTGTTACATCCACACAGGCAATTTAGCTGGCAAAAGGACTCTGGATTAGTTGGCAGCCTGCTCTTTGTTTCCAAGGTAGGCATTGAGAAGGCATCAAGATAGAAACTCCTATAAGTATAAGAGTTTGGTACCTGTAGGCAGATCTGACACAGCCAAAGAGGGGATGGGGACAGTTAGCTTAGAAAAGGGAGCATCATCTTTTCTTGCCCTTCTGCCAGGTCTCTCTATTTTTTTTTCTAATCTGTGGTATGGGACAGGAGAAAGGCTTTTAGGTCTCATGAAGAATGAGTCCTACTCAAGGATATGCAGTTGTAGATTAATCCACTAGAGGGCATGTCTCCCAGGGCCCAATGGAAGGACTAAACGGAGGCAAGAATTGATAAATTCAGACAAACCACTAAATGAGACAGGAGCCCTGCCCTCAGCAGAAAGGGACCTTAGCGAGCCACATGAAACCATGGAGGTGGTTTGTGAAATATTTTTAGTGCAGACATATGGTAGGGGTGCCCTGGAGCAGCTGAAGTGGGAGGTGGAGTGTTAGGAAGAGTTCTTGTGCTGGTATGGCCCAGACAGCCTAGAGCCAGGATTTTAACAGTGGGTTCAAATCATTGTTTGCTATGCACCCAGAGGTGATTATGCGCTTGCCCCTTTGGTTTTTAGAGTCCCGGAATTAGGCAGCAAACAGGGAGTCAGACCTCAAGACAAACCAGAACTCTGTCTCTCTGGTGATTAAGCAACCAGTAGGTAGCTCAGCAAAAGCTTTCAGCTTTGCTCATAATTGGACACCCGCTTCTGTGAGGGTGGCGCAGGCACCTCGGTTGTCATGACAACTTACCTAGCACCTATTGTTTGGGCAGTTGGGGGATAAACTGCCTCTGTTGTCATGACGACAAGATTCCTCTTATGTTTCCCCAGGTGATCACTCTACTGTAGAAGAAATGGGGTTAACAGACAAGAGTGAGGGAGAACAACAGCTTAAGCCCAACAACTCTGATGCGCCCAATGAAGATCAAAGAGAAGACATCCAACAGCAAGAAGAGGCAAGTAGTGGTTTTTCAAGTCCAGCTTAGTTATGGGGACCCTCTTATATGCTCACCTAAAAAGGCACCAATGCCTGACTCTTGAATTCTTAACCACCAATTAGTGTATTGCAACCTGGAGTATGGGGAGAGCCTCTGGGGTGAGGGAAGAGCCAGGAGTTAACCATCACTACTTCTCAAAGCAATTTCATATTGGCTAACTTGATAAGGTTCTAATGCTAGCTAACATTTTCAGAGCATGGCACTGTGCCCATGCTCTTAATCAATCACTACTATATGGTTCACAGGGATTCATGTCCCATTGGACAGATAAGGAAACAGAATTAAAGAGGTTCAAGTCTTAACTTAACTGTGACCAGCCTGGGAATAGAATCCAGGGAGCGCGATTGCCTGTCTAGTCCTTGCACTGCTAGGTTGGGTCTTGGTTTATGGGAGGAGTAGTAGGGAGGAAGGAGTCCAAAGGAGAAAGGCAGTGGGCCCCTCCCTAGTTGTACTCACCATGCGTTGGCGCCTCTGCCTTCTTCGAAGTCGTATGAATTCCTTATGCTGACGGGAGACAAAATTGACCGCAGCATACTCCAGTAGGGCAGCGAACACAAAGAGCAGGCACACAGCCATCCAGATGTCGATTGCCTTCACGTACGACACCTACAACATCCACCAACAGAAGAGTCAACTTTCTCGGAGTCCTTCCATGGCCTATGCAGTGGGTTTCCAGCCCGTATCAATTGCCTGATGTTCTTCAGTTTTATCCTGAATTTATTCTGGTTTTTAAAGAAGCTTTCCACGATACGTCCCATTGTCTGAAGGCCCAAGTCAAAGAGATCGGGCTACCTATCCTCCTCCACCTCTCTGCACTCTTTACCTTCTTCTTCTATCTGCCTGTCCTTCCCATACTTCTTTTCCTCTATTTCTTTACTCTTTTTGTGCTTCTGCTTCTGCTTCTGATTATTCTTTTCATTCTTATCTTCTCTTGATTCCTTTCTTTCAATAAACAGCAATGAACATGAACACTGTGTTTGTTTGCCCTCTGTCGTCTCCCGGGACCCTCAGAGCCACGGTGCTAATTGGGCAAGGTTCATGATTCCCAGGGGACACACGTGAAGATGCTTAAGGCTCAGAGAGAGTCTTAGCCAAGATCACCCAGTGAGAAGGTAACACTAGGACTTGGGGGTCCTGGGCTTTCGATTCAGGGGCATTGCCAAAGTCTATAGTTTGACAGACCAGGAGCTCCTTTCCCTCTTCTTCCCTAGACCCCGTGGTTTTTCCTGCTGTTCTTTGCAAGAGGCGCTGCTGAACAATTGAGCTTAGGAGTGAGCTGTGGCCTCATCTCTCAACCTGGAGAGGAGAACAGGGCAGGGATCCCAAGGGTGCACCACCTGCCTCCTGTAAGGATGCCTTGCAAATTGCAAGGCACTGTTGGCACCCACCTAACCAGCCCCTAGTGCTCTCCTTTTACTACCTGCCTTGGCAGCCTCTAGGTACTTTTCTCTCACTTCCCTTGTGAAGGTTGAACACTGGCCTCTCCTGGAACAGGGTTGCAGCTAGGTGGGCCCAGGAAGGGGGACAGAGCTTGAGTTTAAAAGAACTTTTCACCTCTCCAGCCAGACTGCCTCCCTACATAGTTTTGAGCCGCCGAGCTCACCCCATAGTGCTCCCCAGCAGGAAGAGGATTTAAGACAGGCCGCTTATTTCATCAGCCTCTGCTATGATGGGCAAGGAGGGTGCTGCAGACTTCAGGTAAGGAGCAGGCTTCACTGGTTAAACCCTCGACCTCAGTGGTTCTTAACTGGAGACAACTCTGCCCACCCCAGGGGCATTTGGCAATGTTTAGAGACATTTTTGGTGGCACAATTTTGGACTGGTGATGGGTACTGGCATCTAATGGCTAGAGGCCAGGTATGCTGCCAAATATCCTACAGTGTACAGCCCATGCCTGATCCCCAACACACACACACACACACAAAGAATTATATGGCCGCAAATGGCAATAGGGCTAAGGGTGAGAAAACCATTTTACTTCTTTTAGGCAATGTCATTGAGATGGTGGCTGTGGATTACCAGGCGTCTTTGGTGTCTCCACTTTTTTTTTTTTTTTGAGACAGAGACTCACTCTGTTGCCAAGGCTAGAGTGCCATGGCATCAGCCTAGCTCACAGCAACCTCAAACTCCTGGGCTCAAGCGATCCTTCTGCCTCCCAAGTAACTGGGACTACAGGCATGCACCACCATGCCTGGCTAATTTTTCTGTATATTTTAGTTGGCCAATTAATTTCTTTCTATTTTAGAAGAAACGGGGTCTCGCTCTTGCTCAGGCTGGTTTCGAACTCCTGACCTTGAGCGATCTGCCCGCCTCAGCCTGCCAAAGTGCTACGATTACAGGCATGAGCCACCATACTTAGCTAATTTTTTTCTATATATTTTAAGTTGTCCAGATAATTTCTATTTTTTTTAGTGGAGACGAGGTCTCGCTCTTGCTCAGGCTGGTCTTGAACTCCTGAGCTCAAACAATCCGCCCGCCTCGGCCTCCCAGAGTGCTAGAATTACAGGTATGAGCCACTGCACCCGGCCTGGTGTCTCCACTTTGCCACTTAGTAAAAAGGCATACTATTTCATTCACCATCCCCTAGTCCCACTGTGCCCCAGGGATGTCAAATACTTTCTATGAAGATCAATAATAAGTTAATGAAAAGGGAGGGCCATGAAGGCACTTTGGACCATCAAAAGAAAGGACACCAGGAAGAAAGTCTTGTTAATGAGGAGAATGTCAATGATAGGTCTTTAAAAATCTCAGGAATCTGTTCACTCACTATTCTAGGTCATCTGAAAAACTGCAACAGTTTCCTAAATGGTCTCCCTGCATCTACTCTTGCCACCTCCAATCTGTTCTCCGAACAGCAGCCAGAGTTTTGATTTCAAAATGTAAATCTGATCTTATCACTCCTCTGCTCATACCCTTTCAGTAGTTCTCCATTACCTTTATGATACCGTCTACGCTCCCATTACCATGACATCTGGCTTCTGCCTACCTCTTCAGTCTTATCGCACTCCTTGCAATCTATGATTCTGCCATGGTGAACTATTTCGGTTGTTTCCCAAGGATCCAATCTTCCTTCCCCTTTCTTTACCTGGATAACTTTTACTTATCCTTCAGCTTTCAGTTTAGATACCACATCATCTGGGAAGCCTCCCCTGATCATCTCAGTCGTGTCGGTTTTCCTGCTATATGTGCCCCAGGTTATCTACACCTTCTTAGCATCCATCACACACCTAGTCATTCTCTTCACTAGCTCTTCGATGTCAGGGACTGTTTCTAAATCATTCACTGTTCTATCTCCAATGCCTATCTGAATGCCTGGCACTAATACTTTTTTTTTTTTTAATGAATGGCTGGCTGGCTGGATGGTTTAGCAATGATTATGTCTCTGCTGGCTTCTGCTTCCCTTTTTGCCCTCCTCACCAAGAGCTACCTACCTGCCTCAAGAGTTGTAGGCCATTTAGATTACGGGATCTAGAGAAAATTGGGTTCTTCCTCCCTGCTGCAACTTTAAGTCTAGTCTGCCAGTTTCTGGTCAAAGCTTCAATTTAGCCCTTCAATTCTTCTCTGAGCCACCTGCAGTTAAGGAGATCCAAGGCCTGGCCAAATGATGATGATCAGTGCCCTTGGGTGGCCCCATAAGGACAAAGAAGGAATGGTTTCTGGGAACATGGGGAACGGCCACCCTAGCTGGGTTCCCTTACAAAGTAATCCTCTGCCGCTCTCATCCTGCACACTAAAGTTATATTGGGGTGTGGGGGGGATTGGTGTGGCTTTCAGAAGCCCCTGGCCTGGCTCCATCTCTTTCCTTGGGACTCCCACTAAACCTAGTGTTGCACAAACTTAAGAGCGAGCAGATATTCCCTGGTTTACTGAGTCCTTTGCTTTGTGGGGCTGGCTAATGAGGTTATTTAGTTTGGGGTACATGCCTGGATATTTTGCTTACTGGCCAATGAGGCCCTGAAAAAGTCATTAAAATCAGACAAGAAGGCACCAAATGCTGCAAACAAACAACTCTCCAATAAAGTCCACTTTTTCCAAATGAGGAAACTAAGTGATTCCTGGGAGCAGATGGATGGTGTTCACTCACAGGAGGGGGCCAGAAAAGGAAATTCTCTTGGCAAGAATAAGGCATAAATTGCACTACATACATCCCTGAGTTAAAGAAGAATCTCCTTGCGTGGCAGAGGCAATAAAGTAGGGCAGGGTTCTTGGGTCTGAACTACTTTTCTGCCTATGGTCTCCGTACAAGGCCACTATCAAAACGCAGCCACCACAGTCCAGCCTGGCCCTGCTGCCCTTGCTTAAGTCCAGCTTGCCTCTGAGAGCCTCACCCATATCCCTGTCCGTCTAGGAAATACATTTACAGAAAACGATCCCTGACAACTTTTCCTGGGACACTTGATCCTGATCTGAGCTTTGTCACTGTTTATCCCTATTGGGGTCTGGACTGCCTCAAAGGTTTCCTGGCAACTCAAAAATAATTGGGGACAATACCAGCTGCTTTAATCCCAGATCCACCACTCAATCTCAATTTTTTCAACCCTGGTACCTAGTATTAATAATTATAACTATACTTAACATTTATTGAGCAGTTACTATGTGCCAAACACTGTCCTGTGTGTTCATACATTATTTATTTTTCACAGTATCCCTCTGGAAGAGGTAAAATTCTTATTCCCATGTTACAAACAAGGAGATTGAGAGGTTAAGAAATTTGCCTAAGATCATGCTATTAGTTAATGATGAGGCTGGTACTCGAACCCAAATCTGCCTGACTCTAATCTCCTAATCCCAACCACTACTCCATATAGCTAATTTACAAAGTTACCAGGATATCCCAGATTATCCCCTGTTTAAGTTCCCAATAAAAACTCTTATTAGAAACAAGCACTAAGAGATGGGAGATCACAGGGCCTAGTTCCCAACAAATCAGTGCAAGAGGAAATATATTCACTATAAGATCCATAAGGAATTGTGTTGCTTTCATTTCCCATCATTTCTCCATGGCAAAGTACAGTGCCTGGTACATAGTACATGCTCAATAAATATTTATTGAATGAATAAATGGCCTTGCTCCCTGATTTACTCAGAGCCTTGTTGACTATAAGGACTTTGTGGTGACCTCTAAATTCTCTACATGATGATATGAGCCAGGGAAAACCTCTGCACAGTCTCATCAGCACAAATATTTCTGCATAATCAAAACATCACCAGGCCCCAGATGACCAGAGTCCACTAACTCTAATTGCTATTGCTACCTCCAAATGCTCTCATCCCCAAAGAATGGTCACTGTCTCTAGAGCTTTTTGTAATTGTACCTGATTTCTGAAATAGTAAGATGACAGAAATTGGTTCAAAATCCTGATACTTCTTTGGTTATTTCTTGTAGGGCATAACCTTGAGAAGGTCATTTTACCTCTCTGGGCTTTATTCTCCTTATCTGTACCATGAGGGAATAGGACTTCTCCTTGCTAAGGGTCTTTTGGTCTTGAACATGCTAGTGTTTCCTGAAGAAAGTCAAAGGAGGTAAGGCACTGTTTCTACTCACTCTCTAGCCAGACAGCATCGCTAACTCCAGCCTCCTCATTGTTAGCAATGTCATTAGCAATGTGTTCTGGGGAAAGAGAGAATGCAGGACACCAGCTCTTGCTTAGTGGCTTTTCTCAACCTTAAATCCAAGATAAATAGTGAGCAGGAGGGCACATGGGATGAATGGGGAATGGAGAGCCTTAGAGCAAACAAGTTCTCTTGCATGTCTCTTCACCTTTGGCAAAGAGGCCCGGGAGCCAGAGCTCTGGGTGGTCATGGTGAGCACGGTGGTGATGCCCAGGCCCACACGGGCAGGAGCAGCATCCATGTTGATCCAGAAGGAGACCCAGGACAGGATGACGATGAGTAGGCTGGGGATGTACATCTGAATCAGATAGTAGCCCATCTGCCGTTCCAGGTGAAACTTTACCTCGATGCAGGTGAATTTCCCTGCAAGAAAAGAGGTGATGAATCAGGGTTCAGGTCCCCAGCCTGTGGCTGAGCCTGAGGTAACTAGGGTAAGACTAGGGCACCTGGTCTCTGCTGGCCAGCCTCTGGGTACCTCAGCTGGGCCAATAAATGAGCCTTTCAAAATGGCCCCAGTTAGTGCCATATGTATGTACTAAGGAAACTCTCAGAGTGGCCATCAAAGACGTGGCCTCTTGCTCCTAGCACTTTCACATGACAGCACAGCAAGAGGATAAAGAGCGGGAGGGCTCCAGAGTCGGACTCCCTGGGTTTGAGTCCCGAACCTTCCACTTATTAGCTGTGTGATGTTGGGCAAAACACCCAAGATTTTTGAGCTTCAGTTTCCTTGCCTGTAAAACGGTAATAACAATACCAACACCATCACTGGGCTATTGGAAAAATTAAATGAGATCATGTATTTGAGGTGTTGGGCACATAGGTAGCTGTTACTATTGTTATCTTTATTAACAAAGCAATTAGCTTACACTCCATTCAGATCTCAGCAGCCCGGCCTGCACTTGCTAGTACCCCAGAACAGAAGCTCTCTAGCAACAACAATTCACTGGGATAAACGCTGCTTGTGTCTTAAGCAAGTGAGAAGAGCCAGATAGCAAACATCTGGAAACAATGCCCAACAGAGACCAGCTCTGAATAGCAGGCAGCGGGTTGCCATAGAGCAGCAGGCAGCAGTAATCTATTCCACCAACAAAAAGTGCATTGGCCCCAAGCACATGGACCGATGCTTGGCCTCCCCTGCCAGCCTTCTTCACTTTATCTTGCTTCCCATGGCCCCAAGGCTAAGAAAACACTAGATCACAGCTTCTCTCAGAAGCAGAGGCTCAGGATGACCCAAGAGAAAAGGAGAGGATGTGTATGTTACTTTGTTCTGGTCTTATCGGGCCTACCTGACTCTTCAAGGCCAACGATTTCATCAGTGACTGATTATTAAGGCTTTGACCTGTTGTAGGGTGCTGTGACCACCTACTGTTCCTGACTCCACCTCACCTCACCCCACCGCGGCTTCTTGCCACTACATGCCTTTACTAAGTACTTGTATTTTCTTTCCCATCCTACCTTCCCGTCTTTTTTTCTTTGTGTAATAGCGTTTTTCTGTTTTTGGTTTTTATTTTATTTTATTTTTTTGAGATAGAGTCTCGCTCTGTTGCCCAGGCTAGAGTGCCGTGACGTCAGCCTAGCTCACAGCAACCTTGAACTCCTGGGCTCAAGCGATCCTTCTGCCTCAGCCTCCTGAGTAGCTGGGACTACAGGCACGCGGCACCATGCCCAGCTAATTTTTTCTATATATTTTTAGTTGGCCAATTAATTTCTTTCTATTCATAGTATAGATGGGGTCTTGCTCTTGCTCAGGCTGGTTTTGAACTCCTGACCTTGAGCGATCCTCCTGCCTTGGCCTCCAGAGTGCTAGGATTACAGGCGTGAACCACTGCGCCCGGCCTGTTTTTATTTTTTGAGACAGGGTCTCGCTCTGTCTCCTGGGCTAAAGTGCTGTGGCATCATCATAGCTCACTATAACCTCAAACTCCTGGATTCAAACCATCCTCCTGCCTCAGCCTCCTGAGTGACTGGGACTACAGGCGCACCAACCACACCTCGTTAATTTTTCTATTTTTTTGTAAAGAGGGGGTCTTGTTCTTGCTCAAGCTGGTCCCAAACTCCTGGACTCAAGGGATCCTCCCACCTTGGCCTCCCAAAATGCTAGGATTACAGGTGTGAGCCACCAGCACCTGGCCAGCAGTTTTGTTTTTAATTATAAAATTAACCCTAGGTTAGTATAGAAAATTGAGAAGTAGAGAAGGAATAATAATATTCATAAGATTACATTTATGATCCCCCTACTAAGCAACCTGACTTTATATACTTTGTCTCATTTAATCCTACAGCAACTCTTTGGGGTAAGTAAAATTATCTCTCATATCAAAGACAGGGATGCTGAGACATGAAGAAATTAAGTTATGTTTCTCAAGGGCACTCAACTAGTGAATAGTGAAATCCAAGCTCAGCTCTATCTGCCCCCAAAATTCTTGCTCTCATCCGTTGTATCCACATATTTTTAGAAACATTTAGTTCTATTTCCTTCCAGGATTTTTAAATGCATGTTTTTGATATGTTTTTTTAACTACAATGTAGTCATTTTGTGTGTATAACTCAGAATCTTACCTTCTTTCACTCGTACTTTCCCACGTTGATATAAGCACCTCGTAAGCATACTTTTTCATGTCTGCATACTATTCCACCAGACAGATACACTATGTAATTTACTTAACCTCTGCCCTATTGGCAGATATTTAGAACAGTTTCAAGTTTTTGCTAGTATAAACAGTGACCCAGGAGCCCCCTTGGGGTTTAAAGTCAATGTGATATTTTGGAATATTTCCTTATAATACATTCTAAGGTGTGGGATTCCTGGATAATTAAGTAGCCAAAAAATTTGAGCTTCTAGACTAAGGTTTCTCAAAGTATGTTTCCTCGACCACCTGCATCAGAATCCTCAGGATACCTGTTAAAGGGCAGATTTAAGGGCATTACTCCAGGTGTATGTAATCAGAATCTCTGAGCGAGCCCAGGAATCAACATTTTAACTGACTCCCCAGGGGAATATAATGAACACCAAAGTTTGAAAACCATTGACCTATATACAGATTGCCAACTTTTTTCCCAAAAAGGTTATACCAATTTTCACTCCCACCTGCGTTTTCTAAACTCAATGGCCTTTTCTCTCCCCACTCCCCACACCCCCATGTATATATGCACACACATATTCATGGGGCAGCACCCAAAGCATACCAGGGTGACATGGGAGGGACCCAGGACCTTTTCCTCTTCAGCCTGTTGCCTCTATCTCAGGGTCAGAGTTCCTGGCAGCCAAATTACCAGGGGAAATGAGGAGCTGCAGGGGCAGATGCTCAGACTGAAAAGCAGCCCTTCTTCACTTTTTGGCTCACGTTTCACACCTGGGAAAATACGGCAGCTCGTGAGAGCAGGGCAGCGGTGGCAGCAGTGGGAGGCGGGCATGGTAAGCTGGCTGCTGCCCTCAGGCCTGTTCCCTCCCGGGTCAGCACAGCCACTGATCACTCTCAGACATGCATGCTCCAGCTTCCACACAGAGCTGGCCCTGGGAAAAGTGGGAAACTCCTGCAACTCACTGTAACAGGCCCATTTGCTCTGCAGCATGTGACAGGGACAAGAACATGGACTGTGGAGTTACACAGATCTGGATTTGAATTCTAAACCTGCCATTTACTAGCTATGTCACTTGGACAATTGATTTAACCTTTTAACAGGGGTCCTCAAGCTTTTTAAACAAGGGGGCCAGTTCACTGTCCCTCAGACCGTTGGAGGGCTGTTGGAGAGTGTGGTGCACATTCCACACATGCGCACTGGGGGCCCGGGCTGAGTCGGCTGCTAAGCAGGACAGGCAGCGGTGACAAAAACACCCCTCGGGCCAGGTAAATGTCCTTGGCAGGCCGCATGTGGCCCACGGGCCATAGTTTGAGGAGCCCTGTTTAGAACCTCGGTTTTCCTTTTCTGAAAAAATGGTGTTGATAATCACTACCACAATGAGATATGACATATGAAGCACCTGGCACCAATCTGGCAGATTGGGCCTTCAGTAGAGGCTGGCTGCCTTGTCCCTTTGCTTCGCATCTGAAGGTTCTCCTGTGGCTCATAGCCAGTAAAGATCCTGGTTTTTACCTGTGTTGTAGTGCTTGGTACAATAGCCTAGATCCTTCTCATCCCGCAAGATAAACTGGGGCAGAGTCAGCCCCTCAGCCACTTGGACAGCAGGAGCATCTTCCAGCCACTCAAACACGAGGTCATTCATGGTGTAGCCAACTGAAAGTGACAGAGATGGCAGAGGGCTGCAGAGTGTGGGTGTTGGGTGGGGGTAGGGATAGGGTTAGAACTGGCAGGAGAGAACAGTCGACGAGTCAGGCCTGGGGTTTAGGAGCTTCACGCTCATTTTGGAAAGGGAAACTTTTCTGAAGGGGGTACTTGGTCATTGTCTCATGGGCCCATCCTAAGTTGGTAAACCAGAAAGAGTCCAGACTCCTCTCCTACTCAGTTCTCAAGCTCGAGGAAGGCCCAAACAGAAATTATTCTGGCAGACCTAGAAAGCAGGTCAAGATGGTTGGAAAGATGTCAAGGAACCCAGCTGGGAGCCTCCTGCCATATCTCAAGCCCAGGGGAGTAAGCATGTGTACCAACCACATGTCTTGATCTGAGCCAGCCTCAGAGTCAGGGCTTCTGTCACCTCACCTCAGGGAGGAGAGAGCTATTTATATCCTGCCAGTCATGCATGGGACAATGTGCATACCACAGACTCCTAGCCAGGGCCTTGAATTGGGACAGATTGAGAGCTAATATCTGAACATGCCAAGTTGTTCACAGATAGCTAGCAGTTCAAGAAGGCTCATGCCACATATATGATTATATTCATACATGTCAGGTAGGGATTGGAGCAGAAACACCAAGGTTCACAAACATCCAGTGTAGGGCTTTGACCCAGAGTACCTATGTGACTTTGGGTAAGTCACTTCCTCTTCTATAAAATGGTGATAATAGTAGCTACTCTTCCCACTTTTCAGAGTTGTTGTTAAGCGATAATGAAAGGCTGGATGTGAAAGTGGTTTATGAACTCTAAAGAGCTGACCACAGCTGGAAACAGCCTCACAAGCCTTCTTCTCTAAACACCGAGTGGGTGTCTCCCGATCTCACAGTCTCCCCTCACCCAGGAGATGGAGAAGGAGTGGAAATAGGTGATGGTCCAGCCTTGTCCTCCTTTGGCTCCTTTGCACTTTGGGCAGTCCCTACAGGCTGGCACCCCTGCCATAGAGGAGCCCTTGGCTGACCTCTCCACTCTAGTCACTGTCCTCTGCCTAGAACTGTCCTCTCCTACTTCTCTACATAGGTTATCTGTGTTCATGGGGAATCAGGGTTCAAAGAGAGCCCCACCTTGCACACACTGGCATGTTTATAGGCATCTTCAACGTCTTAACTCAGGGGAGTAAAGGTAGAATGACTTCAGGCACTGTGAGACGGACCATATCTTTGGGCAGAAAAGGTGTCCCTCAAATCACCCCCGAAAACCAGCACGAGCACATTTGTATCTAAGGCTGGCATCTCCCCATTCCCCAGCCCTGTGGGACAGCCAGATCAGCGAATAGTGTGGGGATAGAAAAACACACTGGACTGGGGCTTAGAGATCCCTGGCTCCTGGGCTCATCTGTGCCAAGAATTGACTGGGTGTGCTTGGGCCAGTCCCTCCCCACTCTGGATGGTCCTTTTCCTGGGTGGAATCCTGTGGGACGGGGTTAACTAGCTTATATTCCAGGCCTTGCTCTGTGACTCTCTAGAGACACTTACAGCTCTCCAACTGCATCGTGCAGGTCTGGATGTCCATGGGGAAGTTCTTGAGGTCCATCGGGCAGGACAAAATTAGGGTCAACCTGGTGGGGACAGAAAGAAAGAAGTGACCTCAGTTTACTGGGGCCCAGCTCAGCACAGGGGAACCCTCCTCCCACCCCTCAGCCTCCATCTGCCTTCTTTCCCATGATGCAAACTCTCCTGGCCGTTCACCGGGTGCACCTGATACTGTAGAGCACATTCCCATTCTTGAAGATGCGCAGTAACTTGTTGTCCGTGGTCACCTCATGAAAGTTGGCCCCTTTCTCGTTGGCAAAGAACAGGTCTGGCTTCCAGATGGAGTCTAGCATGGAAGGATCGAGGTCCAGAGAGTCGTCAGGATACTCTCGGTACGCCAGGCGTGGGTCATTCCACTGTTGCCGCAAGAAGACATTCACCCGGTAGTCCTGGGAGGGTGCAAAGAGGCATCCATCAGAGGCAGTGCTCTTCCTGGGGCCCCAGCCAGCCCGCACGGGCAGGAGAGGCATGAGGAGGAAACGCTGGGAGTGCATCTCCAGGGCAGTGGGCATTTTCCACTGGAGAAGGAGCCTGTCTTGGGCTGATATGGCAGAGATGAGCAGGGGAAAAGCCTTCATTTAAGCATTTGCTATGTGCCAGGCTCTCTGCTAAGTGCTTTCTTTATATGCATCATCTCATTTAAATCTGACACCAACCTTGCAAGGAGAGTGTTGTCATGATCTCCATTTTACAGATGGGGACACTGAGGCAAAGAGAGATTTAAGTGATCTGCCTAAGGTAACACAGCTATGAGATGGTAGAGTCCAGATTTGAACCCAGGTTTGTGTGATTCCAAAGCCAGTGCTCTGCACCAAGCTACTTCACATGTGTCACCATCTGCTGCTTAGACTAGTCTGTCTTTAGCCCTGGAAATCCAGAGCTAGGGAAAAATGTCCTCCCAGTGACCAACTTCAGACATCCCATGGCTTTAGCTGTGACCATGAAACAGGGAGAGGACAGAAGAGGGAGGAAATGCTTACTATCTGGTGGGCTTCTCCCATTCACCCTAGATTGGAAGCAGGGAACAGGGAGACCCCTTACCATGGTGGTCTCAGTGACGGAGCCGAAACTGTTGATGAAGATGTTGCAGGTCACATTCACGGGTGGGCCTGAGGGTAGCAAAGCACAGCCCATTGGCAGGGCATTCCAGGAGACTGGGAGCAGGTCCCAGAACTCCCTCCCTTAGCTTCAGGCCAGGCCACTGCTGGGGGAAGGCAATGCCAGCTACGCAGGCCCATGAGCGAAGGGGAGGAGAGGCCCCATCTCAGCTGTAAGAACTAACACCGGACCTCCAGCCTCCTTTCCTTGTGGCAGGTGACAGGGTCTGGCTGGGTGGTGTGCTGCCAAAAGCGGTGGGGAGGGAGGGACTTTTGTAGGATGAAGGTTTCTTACCTTTAAAATTGGGTCGAATCCTGGCATCATATCCAGATGTTCGTCCCATAAGCTTGTCTAGGAAATCAGAGGGAGACATGGGCTGGGACCCTTTGGTCCCAGATTTGACTTCCTCTTTTGCCAAGGCCACCCTGGATGGGAGAAGTAAAGAAGTCTGAGGCCAGTCGTATTCTGCATTTATCGCAGACTCTCTCACTCCCCATCCCCACCCACCTGTGACTGATGTCCCCATGAGGCAGGAGGATAGGAGAGGATGGGTCTCTGGGTGCCATTTGCAAAATGAAAAGAACAAAAACAGCCATAAGTCAACATGGCGGCTCACCAGTTAGTACTACAAAAGTGTTTTCACATAGATTAGACCTTTTTACTCTCACAGTTCTCAGTGAGATGGGGGTGAAGACTATTATTTCCATTTTATGATGAGGAAACTGAGGCTTCAAAAGGAGAAGTGACTTGTCCAAAGTCACAGAGCTAGTGAGTGACAGGCTCAGAACCCAAACTTCGGGCTGAAGCATCGTCCAGTGTTCTCTTCTGAAGGTGCTTTGAGAGCACACAAAGAAGAGTAATGTCTCACTGGAAATGATCTGGCAAGGATGGAAAGGGCTCAAGGACAACTTGCATCCCTGAGAGTTGGTCTCAGTTGCTTGGGCTTCATGCTGGGCTGCTCAGGATCTAGAATCCAGCTTTTGAAAGAGGGAGTCTTGGCTTCTGGCGTATGCTCCAGCAGGAAACTCCGTTTTGAGCTGTATTTTAATTCAGGGCTATGGCTGCTGCAGGCAGGTGAACTAGTTTTGGCAAATATGGTGGAAAAGTGGGGCTCTAGGAGCATGGGAAAGCCTCCCAGTGGGGTGGACATGCTGAAGTCACCTTCCATCTTTTTCCCCCTAACAGCTTGATTTTGAGGAAGGAGCCAGTGTGCTTTAGCCTAGCTTGGAAGCCAGCCCCCTTCTCCTCTGACAAGTTTCCCTCTAAGAGCAGCAAAGCCTTAGTGACCACATGCCTGATCACCAGCTAACAGACTAGGGACCCAGAGCTCAGCAAAGCCTTGGTGGCAAGGGTGGAGCTCAGGCTGGACTCCTGGCTGGGCCAGGTGCCTCTTGCCCCATCCTGCCATCATCACTGGGCCAGGCACTAGCACTGCCACTGCTGTGCTACACTGTGGGGCTGGGTGGCAGTGTGGCTGCTGTCCTGCTGGGTCCTAGTATCCCTTGAGCCACCAGGACCCTCTTTCCCAGTAAATGCACGCACCAGCCAGTGAGCAATAGAATAATAAAAATTGCTAAGGCACCATACGAAATGCTTTGCACACTTTGTCTAATTTGCTTCTCACCGAGTCCTCTCAGATAAGTGTTATGATTTTTTCCATTATATAAATGAGGAGATGAAGGATCAGAGAGGTGAAGTGACTTCTTTATGATCGTGTAGCTAGCGAGTGGTAAAGGCAGGATTCGAACCCAGAGCTACTGACTTCAAAATTATCTATCTAAGTCTATCTATCTATCTAAGTCTATCTATTACAATACCATGACGCAGACAACCCAGGGTGGGCAGTGGAGGAGCCAGAGTGGCAGAAGGTCAGTGGCAGTCCCACCATGACCTCCTATAGTCTTGTCTCCTCGAATCCCCCTAGCAAGAGGAAGCTCTTGCCCTGAGGACAGAGGCTTCCCTAGCCCCTAGCAGGGGCTACCAGAGCAGGTGGCCTAAGCAGACTCTGAAAATCCGAGGAGGCTGGTGGTGGTGCTGGAGCAAGCAGAAGTCTGTGGCTTCACCACAGGATGTCCACGCTAGCCAGGTGCTGCTGCTGCTGCTGCTGGCCACCTGCCACCTGCCTGCTGGGAGGCCACATGGCCCTGCACATGGAGCAACCGGACCCTCCCTACTGTCCTCAGCCCCACTCTCAGGTCACCTCTCCTGCTAGTCCCAGCCCTGGGACCCTGGTATAAACTACGGACTCAGCTGTCTTGGGCCCCAACCCCTGTTGCAGCCCCTTTTTCTGGGGCTACCTTGTCTGACGACCTAAGAGCAGAGTCACCGTGTGCTGCTACTCCTTCCTCTCTTTCATTCCTGGAAAGTCCCGCACATTGGCAGGACCTAGGAAGCTCCAGAGCTGACAATCTTTTTCATGCAAGGCCCTGGGGTGGGGTGGGGGGAGAGCTCTGATTCTGCTGCTGAGCACCTGAGTGACCTTAGACTAGTTGCTGCTCCTGTCTGGGCCTCAGTTTCCCTATGTGCAATGAAAGACTTGGGGTCCAGACTCTCGAAGGGCCCATCTTGCTCTACCTGCCTCCACTCTTTAAACTCTAGCAGGAATGCTGCCATTGGAGCTTGGGCTTTGAGGCAGCCTCCTCTATGAAGGCCAGCAAGGCCCAGCTGGGTGCCCCCTTCTGCCTGTATCCTCTTGTCAACTCCAGCTGAGCTGCTATTCCACTTTGAGCTGCTTTTCACCCTTCAGAAGTTTCCTGCCCCGCTCTGCCTTCCTGCCTGCCTGCCTTCCTGCCAACCCAATGTGTCTGCAAGTAGCGGGGCAGCAGGCTCCTCAGAGGCAAGCATCCCTGGGTGCTCCTTGGACTAAGAGGAAGAGGAGGAGGATGCTGTGTGGCACTCACCCCCTCCACCTTGGGAGGCACTCCTCTTATGAACAGGTCAGCCCAAGCCACAGCCATCTTTCCTGCTCAGCTCACCCTGCCAACCTAGACTGGCTCCTGGTCTAATGAGAAAGGGGCAATTGGTGTGAGGGGGCAGTTACAGAAAGCCCCAAGTATGTCTTGCTTGCAAGCCCAGGAAATGACTGCTACTTAGTGCCCCTCAAGGGACAGTGAGAAGCCAGCCATGTGCACACAGGCAGGGTGACTGCAGTGGACCAAGATTTGGCCAGCCCAGCCCCATCCTGATGTGGTCTTGGGACAAACCCCTGCTGCTTGAAGCCTCTTGGGCATGCAGCTGATAAATGTTGCTGTCATTTTTAGGGATCTGAGTGGTGTGGCCCAGCTGGTAGGGAGACAGGCTGGGTGGCAGGAAAGACAGCGATCATTCTTTGGCTCAGTTACTCATCCCTTACCCAGGCCCCAGGGAAACTCCTACCCATGCACAAACCTTCCCACCGGCACCACGGACTTGACATCTCTAATGAAAAACTCCTGGGTCCTGAGTACAGGAGCGTGTGTCCTCCCCTGGAGCCCTCCAGACTGGGGGCCTTGTGCAAACTTACAGGAAACTGTGCCAGCCACCCCGGCTGCCCCTCGGCCAGTGTTTGCATGCACCTCCTCACCCCCACTCAGCTCACCTGAGGAGGACATGCCCTGGCAGTGTCCAGAGGAGAAGGAAGGAAAGGGTTGCAGGAACAAGAGTTGTCATTTCGCAGGGATCTTGGAGCCCTTTGTCAGCCTGGCTGCCAATGTGAGGGGGTATCCCTGCAGGAACACCAGAAGTACAGAGCCTTTCTCCAACTTGGGCAGCTCGAAAGCAGCCCGTGCAGCCGGGCTAGGAGTTGTGCTCTCTCTCTCTCCTCTTCTGCCTCTTCTCTGCCCTGCCTTTATCAGTCAGGGGCCAGAACTATTCCCTTGGAAATGATCCTGACACAGATAACCCTACCGGCTCCTGTTTGGGATTGCCCTGGGCTCCGGAGGGCCTCAGCCTGCCAGCTGGGAGCTAGAAAAGGTTCTCTTTGGGCAGCAATCACTCTCCAAACCCTGGAGAGTCTTGGAGGGGAGGGAGGAGGGAGACCAGTAGGAAGATGTTTCCCTCCCTCCAACCCCCCCTCCATGCACCCTCCGAAAGCAGCAATTTAAAGGCATAGTCGGCAGCAGCTGGAGGGGTTCAGAGTGTGTGTCTGTGTGCCGGGGAGGAGCTTGGGCTGCCGCTGCTGCTTGGGGAGGGCCAGAGGTGTTCTGTCCATCCTCAAACTCCCGGGCTGGAGGAGGGGACTTAGGTGGCCCTGCTCCCCCCTCGCCCCCAATAGCTTTCCTCTTAGCCTGGAGCCAAGCTGGGGCCCAGCAGGAAAGTCCTAATGATTTGTATAAGGGGGAAAAGACCTGAGAAGGTTTAGGCGGAGCTACGACAGTATTCTCAAGCTGACAGTTTCAGGTCCGAGAGGCGGCGAGAGGGAGGCTGAGGGCTCGGGCAGCTTTTCCCCAACTGTGGACAGAGGCGCAGAGGATGGAAGCCACAGAGGAACTTTGCAGCCCTTCTCATGTATAGTCAGTCTGCCTGCAAGACAGTCTGTCTTTCCTGGTAGTTGCACATCCTTTCCCCTGCCTGCTTCCCTCCCTCAGGTCCCCTCTGGTGAGCTTGGGGCCCTCTGTAGCTCTCAGAATCCCTCCTCCCCACACCCCTTCCCCAGCCTGGCCCTGGGAAGGGACAGCGGTGTAGAGCAGGACCTGGGGCATAGCAGGCTCTGCAGGCTTCAGAGGAATCGCAGCGGGGGCAAGGACAGTGACCTAGCAGCCCTGGGTCCAGGACGGAGAGAGGCAGAGGGTGGGTGTCCTGCCCCCTCACTTTCTACGCATTCGCTTATAGCACCCAGGTACTTCAGCAGCTCCGTTTTCTCCTCTCCGACCCTTCCCCAAAGGTTCCCATGTGGCATCTCAACAGCTCTGGGACACCCCCCCCCCCCCCGCCAGTCCCAGTGCCTCTCCTGCTCTCCCTGCTTTTCTCCAATCTCCTCCTCTCTTCTTCTTCCCTCTCCCTGAAGTTTCGCCTTCATCTCTCCTCTCTCCACCTCATGCTCCAATCTCCTGTTTCTTCTGTCTCACCTTCTGTGTCTGTCTCCTTTTCTCCCCCTGCCTCACTTTCTCTCCAGCTCCGTTTTCTCTCCACCTCCCCTTTATCTTCACTCTCACTCTCTCCTCCAAAAAAACGACAGCAGTGAGAAGCCAAGGGTTTTCGCTTCTCCTTCAGGGGGGAACTCTCCCACCTGCTCTGTGGAGCTCTGATTGCCTGTGTGCTGGGAGGGGGGTGGGGTCAATCCGGCAGCTGACTGCGGCCTCCCCAACCCTGCCAGAGAGGGGTCGGAAGCTCTTTTATGGGCCCCCCCTGGCTGAGCAGATGGATTAACAAGGCAACCACGGGTGGAACCTTTGCTGCAGCTCCCTTTTGGCTGTGTTATTAAGGAAGAGGAATTTTCAGACCACAAATGAAAGGGAGAGAAGAGAATTATAAAGAATACACACTAAAATATTGATGGGAGAGCTGGGCTTTTGGAGTTGGGACTGAAAACATTACAAGCCTCCAATAATTCCTACATGGTCAGTAAATGCAGAATACCAATTATCCTGGAACAGCTTTAGCCGGCTGTTCTCACCCACTCTGTGTTTCCCTTAAGCGTCACAATCCCCGCTCCTGTAAGGGCAGAGTTCAGGGCTGGGCAGCTGGCGGGACGGTGGGAGGGAAGGGGTGCTTGTCTCCTGTGTGTAACTCACTCCCTCTGGCAAACCTGATCATGTCACTTCCCCAGCCTCCACAGTCCCCCACTGCTCGCAGGCTGCAGTCCGAGGCCCTGCATGATGTGGTCGCTCTGCTCGGCCATCCCATTGCTGCCTGTTCTCTTTCTCCACATTCCCCTTCACCCAAAGTACTCTTCCCGCCATTCTTACCCCTCTGGACTGAGTTTTGTTGTCACTCTGTCAAGAGAGACTTCAGGAACTGCCCCTGTCCCCCTCAGGGTTAGGTGGTCTGGGTTTGGTGGCTCTCCAGTGTGTTCTCACAGGACCCTCACCTCACCCTTCACAGCAGTCTGTCACACTCTGTCACAGTTGCTGGCTTACTTGCCTCTCTCCCCTACTCTATCATGAGCTCCCCGAGAACAGAGACACATCATCCACCAATTCTCCGGCATACTAGAGGCAATTAGCGAACATTTGTTAAAAGATGCATCCCGGGCACCCAGGGACACGTCCCGAAGCTCAGTGCCTCTGCATCTCTCTCTGTCAAACAAGAATGATAAGTTTGACACACAGAGGGAGGCCAGCAGGAGGTAATGGTAATAAGGAGTAATGAGAAAGCAGTTTTTATTCCCTTACCCCTCACGCCCGTGGTCTCACACTCAGTGACTGGAATTCTTGGCTAACGGAAGGCATAGGCCCCTGGGGACTGGTCCATTGTCCTGGTCCTCACCTCCTGTGTGTGCCGTGGTGTCCCTGGGTGCTGAGATCATAGCAGGGCCAGCTTCACAGGAGGAAATATCCTCTCTTGTGAGGCTGCAGCGATGACCAAATGTCGGGCTGACATGGTAAAGAGTTGCAGCTTTCCTAGGGTGCTAGAAGGGTAAAGAAGGGAGGAAAGGAGGCAAAGAACTGGGTATGCTGCTGCCGCTAGGAGTTGACAAGCAGCAGGAGAGATGCCCATTGGAAGAGTTCCTGTACTAACAGGAAGCCACACTCTCTGAAGGTGACCTCAGCCTCTTTTTGTGGGAAGGGTACAAAGTCATGTCCAGCCTTGCCCTATAACCTTTTTCTCTTGTCATTACCAAATTATGAATCTCCATGATCCAAAATGTATTGCACCTTTTTCCTGTTTTGCAATTGGCTGCCGTACTCACCAGAGAACTGTCTTTATTGCAGTGCTAAGGCTGTATAGAAGCTACAATAGGCAAAATGTTTCCCAGGATGAAAGATATTATTTTGTCATGAAAAAAACTACCAAGCTACTAAAAATGGATTAAGCACATTTTCATAAATGTTTCATTCCAGGAAAGAGTCTGTCACATTTCAGCCCTATGCAGGGAAAATTGCAAAGGAGCCCTCCTGACAAGCAGGCTTCTCTGAGGAGCAGCATGTCTGTGTTGGGATGGGTATTTAGTAAATTCAGTGATTTCTAGGGCTGCATTTTGGGGGTCAAATTGGAGAATAATTTGGCATACCTTTCTGGACCCGATTCCAATTACCAAGATCGTATGGTCCCCATATTGTCTATCTCACTTATTGAAGTAGAAAGTGGCTGAGGGGTACCTTGAAAGGCAGGCTGCGTTCCCCAATCTGAGGAAACTCTCAGCGCTTTAGCTACTTTTCAGAAGCGTTGGGGTAAGAAATTGGAGGGGGGTTAAAATAAAAGACAGATGCCTTTTAAAAAAATCTGCTGACTATGACCAGGGCGTTTCAGTTGGATCTCTAAGGAGCAAGGCTGCATCTTTTTGCTGCATATGAATTTTTCTTTTCAGGGTTATTTTCAACTTCCAAGGATGTGACAGTTTACTTGAAAGTGGGGGCTCAACTTCCAGTGCTTAGGAACATCGGCAGCAGAGACAGGAAGCCCTTTTGCCCTCTAGCCTTAAGGGTACAGTGCAGTGTGCGTGCAGGCAGGAGTGCTGGTGGGATTTCCACAGTCCTAGACTCAGGTGGAATAAACAAAATGGCAGGTGTGTTAGACACGTTCAGCGCTCTCCTGACTTTTGCAGAGTGATTGGATCAAGTCTGATGCTCCAAAGACTTGGCTTTCTTCTTTTTGCACAATATTTCAAGTATGGATTTTGCAGACAAAATCTGGGGTGTCTGAACATGAGGGAGGCCCATGGAGAGGTGAACTGAGCTCCCCCCAGTTCTCAAAGACAAACCAGGTATCAGCACTAGGATAGCACCAGTGAACAATGGCCCTGCCTCTGTTGCTGGGCTCTGTTCAATGTTCAGGGAACAACGGAGTAGAGCACCTCCAGCTAGGAAAGGTGTAGCGACTAGCACCCAGGTGTGCATCACCTCCCCATGTGGGACCCTCAGAATCATCCCTCATCCCATCAGCCATCTGAGAGTAATTCACTAGCTGTGCAGAAGGGTTTCATTAAGGTTTCCAGAGTTCGCACTGAATTTCCTTGTCTCTTGTCTCTTGTCACTCCGCAACATTCTTGTTTGGGGATGATAGGACCACGTCACGCCTCTCCTCAAAGGTAAATTGGTTTTTGTTTATGATCATGCTCATGAATATCTTATTTGATTCATTTGGAGATTGTGATAATCCATGCTATGTGAGGCATGAAGCCCTTATAGAACATAAAAGCAACAGAACTTGGAAAAATGAGTACATATTTACTGTGTGGAATGGATCACCTTCCCAGTAATTCATGTATGCATTCAACAAATATTTAATTGAATGTAAATCATACATCAGATATTCTAGGTGCTGGAGATACAATAGTGAACAAGGCAGATGAAGTCCATGTCCTCATGTCACTTACATTCTAGTGGGTCACTAGTGTAATTCCTTCCCAAAGAAGGCTTCTGCATGGATCGGCAGTGCCCCAGGGCCTGAGTACCTCTCACAGCATTTGAGTAGGGCGTTTATTACATGGCCTACAAAATAGACTATATTTCAGCAGGTAGTAATAAGCTTCATTTCCCTTCATCCCAGAATGTGTCTGCTAGTCACATCACACAGGTCATTACCTGCTAGACACCCTCCCACGAAGCATATCCTCCAATAATCCAAACCTACAGAACATGCATGCCAAAGTCCTGCGATTATCTCTGGTAGTGCATACGTATTTGTCTGCAACTGCTAACAAACATCTTCCTCACTAGGAGAGTTAGGTGGGATTAACAGAATTCTTAGCTGTGGTCTTTCTCTGAGTGGTCTCTAATTATTTAGTCTCCCTTCCTTCCTTCCTTCCTTCCTTCCTTCCTTCCTTCCTTCCTTCCTTCCTTCCTTCCTTCCTTCCTTCCTTCCTTCCTTCCTTCCTTCCTTCCTTTCTTTCTTTCTTTCTTTCTTTCTTTCTTTCTTTCTTTCTTTCTTTCTTTCTTTCTTTCTTGACAGAGTCTCTGTTGCCCGGGCTAGAGTGCCGTGGCATCAGCC